GAGCCAGCTGCGTAAGCTGTGGGCGGCGCGCTTGCCAGGATGGCGAGAGCGCTCGCCCACGCGCGGACAGGAGGTGCGCAGCGTGGCCGACTGCGCAGGGCTGGCTGCGCACCGCATCGCACAGCTCCCCCAGGTGCCCAACTGGGGGGCTCAGCGTCGGCGATCGCGCCCGCCGCCCGTTTTGCCCGTCACAGGGCGGCGGGGGCGGCGCGTCCAGGGGTGTCGTCTCCTGCGCTTTGGCGGCAGCAGGGGCGGGGCAGCTGCTCGCAGGCCTTGCTCTCTGGCGCGCGGGCGCGCGCCCGGCGTCCGCGCTGGGCATGGCTCGCCAGATCGGAGGACTTTCTCATCGTTCGCTTCGATTCCCCGCGGGAGGTGGTTGAGCACGTCATCCCATCACTGCGGAACGTGACCACGTCCCCACGGACGCCCATCCTTCAGGCCCCGCCTTCGACCCAACCCACAGTGCGACCGACCGCCAGGGTGCCGACTACGCCATCTCGCTGGGCTCGTGTCCCTTCCTCGGCTCCAGTGGCATGCAGTCCTTCGATTTCGGCGGCGCGCTGTACATCAGTTTCCTCGCCTGCTCCACTTTCGCGCTCTTCCATGGCTCAGAGGGCGTCCCCACCGTCATCAGTGTCAAGGGGTGCTTCGCGAGTGGCGGCTTCCTGCCCGTCAGTGTCACTGCCGTCACCGATTTCGTGCATGTCAAGTTTGCCGTTGACGCCGCCTCCGACCTCGGCGTCTGGACGCGCCGCCGCTTCGCCACCCCCCACAGGCGTTAGAGCGCAAGTCCCGTTGTCGTGTTCGGGCTCGCCGTCGTCACGATTGGGATGCCTCGATTCACGCCCTCTGGTCATTGGCGTTAGATCGCAATTCCCGTTGTCGTGTTCGGGTTTCACGTCGCCACGTTTAGGATGCCTCGAGGGAGACCTTCCCTCTAGTGGCGTTAGAGCGCAAGGCCCGTTGTCGTGTTCGGGCTCGCCGTCGCCACGAACCGGGTGCCGCGATTCGGGACACCTGTCCCTTGGCGTTAAATCGCAAGTCCCGTTGTCGTGTTCGGGCTCGCCGTCGCCACATGTCGTTTGTTTGTTTGCGAACTCCCCGAGTGCGCACCGCAGCTCACCGAGGTCGGAGGATCTCAGCGGCGGCGCGGCGCCCACCTCGGTGGCGCTGCACGGCGGCGACGGTGTGCGTCTACCAGGCCCACAGCGAGAACCCGAAGTGGTCAAGTCTCCGCCCTGGCGCCCCCGCGGCTGCCCGCGCGGCCCGGAGCTGCTGGAGCGCACCCGTCGCTGGACACCACCTGGGCTGCCCTCGGTTCGCGGTCCATCGATGTCGGCGCCGCCCTGTACTCCAGTTTCCTCCCCTGGGTCGCTTTCGCGCTCTGCTGCGGCTCAGAGGGCGACTCCTCCGTCCTCGTCGGCACGGTGTGCATCGCGAGTGGCGGCCTTCTCCCCGCCTACCTCTTCGTCTTCGCCGATGCCGACATCGTTGGGATCTCAGAGGGCGCCGCCATCGTCGACGGCTTCCGCGCCTTCGTGGTCCTCTCCGTCTGGGTGCTTTGCTGTAAAAGCCCCGTCACCGTCACCCTCGCTCCCCTCGCCCTTCGCTCCGTTGAGCTTTGCTCCTGCTGCTGCCTGCACCCCCCCTGCTCCCCCCCTCGCTCTGCAATCATCGCCCGTTCGCCCGTCCTCCCGCATCCCCGCTCCTCGCGCGCCGAGAGAGCGCGCCCGCCTTGTTGGCATCATCTCAGCCGCCGACGCGGAGTTCGTGTCAGGCGCGCCGCCCGCCCCCTCGCCACCCGCCGCTGGGGGATCGGCCTAGGTGGTCGACGCACTCCCCCCTTTCTACGCTGGGCTCCTCCTCTCTCGTCCTTCCCTCTCTGCACGAATCAGCGGCCCGAGTTTTGGCCACGTTCGCAGGGCAGCTGGCCAGTCGGATGCCTCCTATAGTCTCTGCCACGAGTCGGTGTACGTCGTCGTAGCCCGAGCCCTGCCCTCGCCGATCGACGATCTGGCCAACTCGCGGGGGTGGACAGACCTCCTACCCTGACACGTGGATTGAGGAATTGGCCGTTTTCGGTTCTCGAAAGGGCGCCGCGGCCGTCATTTTCCAGGCCTGCGCCCGCCAGGTTTGGGCCCGCCGTCATTTTCCAGGCCTGCGCCCGCCAGGGAGGTCTGTCCATCCCCGAAACTCGCTGGGCGGCTGGGGGATGGTTCGGAATTTGCCGAACACGGCGAAATCCGAACCCGACCCCCGCCTCCCATCGATGCAGGAGTCGACGGTCGGTGGAGGTAGGGTTCGGACGTCTCCGCCTGCATGTGCATTGCCTTCTGAGGCACTGGGGCACCGTTCCCCCCCCTGGCGGCGGATTTGCACAGGGTCTGGCTTCGCAAGTGACGCCGGCGCTGCGGATGGGCAGCAAAGGGCCGTGGTCGAGCGCGCATGGCCCACCGCGCCGCCGCCTTCCCCTGAGATCCGGCGCTGCAGTAAAGTTCTCCTGGGGAAAAACCCATCCATATGCAGTTGTGAGTACCGCCGTTGTGAGAACCGCCCGTCGGTGGAGCTCCCTACGGGACCACGGAACGCGTGACGGGTGCGCCGAAATGGGGCGGGGCCGCCATGCGGGCGCTGCCGCTGGGGTCGCCCGCAGGGGGCGCGGAGGTCAGACGAAACGGAGTGCATGCTGATGTAAACCGTCGCGGCTGAGGAAGAAGTCGTGCGGTCGCAGCCATTGGGGCCTTCGGTGAGGCTCCCTCTGGGGCCAGGGTGTGCTAAAGTGATGGGGCTGGCGGCGTGCGAACGTAGCCGCTGGGGCCTTCGGTGGAGCTCCGTATGGGGCCACGGAACGTGTGAGGGTTGTACCAAAGTGAGGGTGGTGGCGGCATACGGATTCAGCCACTAGGCCTTCTGTGGAGCTCCCTATGGTGCCACGAAGCGTGTGAGGGATGTACCAAAGTGACGGTGGTGGCGGCATGCAGGCGCAGCCACTGGGGCCTTCGGTGGAGCTCCCTTAAGGGGCCACGAAACGTGTGAGGGGTGTGCCGAAGCAGACACGTGAAAGAGGAGGGAATATGATGGAGATGATGACGGCGATGATCATAGTTGAGGACGTGCGGAGGGCAGAGACAAGGTGGGAAGGAGTGGGAAGCAGGAGGATGAGGAGGAGGAGGAGGAGGAGGAGGAGGAGGAGGAGGAGGAGGAGGAGGACGGGAGGAGAAAGTCGCGGGGAGCTGTCTATTCAATACGAAGACCCGACTCAACATAGGATGGTGGGAACAAGGCAACACCGCGAAACATCACGGTCTGACTCCCAGGCCCACATCTCAGTGCTGCACTCTTCGGCACGGATCGATCTGCGAGGGCCCTGGGGCCTGAGACCGGGCGTAAGACGCCCGGAGTGAAGCCTGCAACGGGGGGTTTCGGGGGGGGGGGTCGGGGGCTTCGAGGGTTCGGACGTCGCCACTGGTGGGGTGGCCGCGCAAAAGCGGCTCGCCGTCGCCGGCGGTCGTCGTCGTTGCCGACGGTCGTCGTCGTCGTCGTCGTCGTCGTCGTCGTCGTCGTCGTCGTCGTCGTCGACGTCGACGTTCGTCGTCGGTCGTCGTCGTCGTCGTTGTCGTCGTCGTCGTCGTCGTCGTCGTCGTCGTCGTCGTCGTCGTCGTCGTCGTCGTCGTCGTCGTCGTCGTCCGGGAGGAGGCCGGGCGCCGGGCAGGCGCAGCCCGCGCCGCCCGCCCTCGGCGCGCCGCGGCCCAGCACAGCCTGCGGCTCCCGCGGGTGGGCCTCCCGGGCGCTGGGGCGGCCCGCGCTGGTGCCGCGGGTGAAGGAGGAGCTGGCGGCCCCGGAGGGGCAGCGGGGGGTGGGCTCCTCCTCCGCCTCCTCCTCCTCCGCCTCCTCCTCCTCCGCCTCCTCCTCCTCCTCCGCCTCCTCCTCCCCCGCCTCCTCCTCCTCCTCCGTCTCCTCCTCCTCCTCCTCCGTCTCCTCCGCCCCCTCTCCTCCTCCTCCTCCTCCTCCTCCTCCTCCTCCTCCTCCTCCTCCTCCTCCTCTCCTCCTCCTCCTCCTCCTCCCCTCCTCCTCCTCCTCCCTCCTCCTCCTCCTCCTCTACCTCCTCCTCCTCCTCCTCCGCCTCCTCCTCCGCCTCCTCCGCCTCCTCCTCCTCCTCCTCATTCTCCTCTTTCTCCTCCCTTTCCTCCGCCTCCTCCTCCTCCGCCTCCACCACCTCGTGCAAGCACGACGGGAGGTTCGTGTCCATCTTCGGCCTCCGAGGGCCATCTCCGGGCCCTGGGACTGTCAAGAGACGGCTCAGGGTGAAGATCCGGTTTCTGGGAAAGGGTCGGGGTTTCCAGGGAATTCGTATGGAGTGAATCAGGACGTCGCGTGTCTGACGAGGCACCGGTACCGCCACCTCCTTCTCCTCCGCCTCCTCCTCCTCGATCCTCCCCGTTCCTCTCATCCTTCTCGTCCTCGATCCTCCTCCTCCTCTTCCTCCTCTTCCTCCTCCTCCTTCTCCTCCTCCTCTCTTTGATTCCAGGCGCCTCGCGGAACCCCACCAGCAGCGGTACCCAGGGGAGTTGCCCTGTTCAGGGATGTGGATGAGCATCCAGCGGAAGAACGGAGTGTGCAAGCCGTCATATCCCAAGAGGTGGAGCACGGAGAAGGAATCAGAGACATGTGAGGAGGAGGAGGAGGAGGAGGAGGAGGAGGAGGAGAGGAGGGAGAGGAGAGGAGGAGAGGGGAGGAGGAGGAGGAGGAGGAGGAGGAGGAGGAGAGGGAGGAGGAGAGGAGGAGGAGGGGGAGGAGGGGGGGAGGGGGGGGGGGGAGGGGGAGGGAGGAGAGAGGAGGGAGGAGGGAGGAGTAGGATTGGGAGGATAAAGGGGAGGAGGAGTAAAAGCGGCAGCGTCTGAAGACACCATTGCTGTCAGGAAACAGGAACCAGGAGGAGTACAAGGAGGATGAGGACGAGGAGGAGGACGAGGAGGAGGGCGGACAGAGCGGCCAGGTGCCCCTTGGATGCCCCTCGGAGTCTCTCAGGATGTCTCCTGGGAGCTCCTCGGGGTGCTCTTGGGGTGTCTTGGAGGAGCTGGCGGTCGGCATGGCGACCCATACAGTCGGGCCGCTGAAGAAGGAACCCTTTTCGTTTGGGAGGGGCTCAGTGTTCCTTAATCATCTTAGATGTTTCTTACGTGTTCCTTAGGTTTTCTCTGGGAAATTGAAGTTTAACTTATGGGAAAAACGGGCCTCGTTCCTTATTTATGGTTCCTTAGGTCAACGCCTCGACTGTAGATCCGAGGCTACGAAAAGAATTGGGCGGCCCTTTTTTCTGATGCAGGTTTCATTCTCCAGGGGCCCTCAACGGGCCCCAGGATAGTGGAAATCCGACTCGGGACGAACCGCTGGCCCTAGGGGAGATGTCCAAGCATCAGGGGGCCCACGCATCGACCAAACACTGTGGCATCTCTGGATGCCCGGGGGGGCTGGGGGGGCGATCCCTCCAATTGTGTTGGTCTGTCATCCATCCGCGGACGAGTGTCATATCCATAGCGGACGCGGAACCCGAACGGACCACATCGTGTTCTGCGCATTCAGAAGGGGAGTTGTGCACATTGGAGGAGGAGGAGAAGGAGGAGGAGGAGGAGGTGGAGAAGATGGCGGATGGGCAGGTGGATGAGCAGGAAGTGGAGGACGATGGGGAAGGAGGATGACGAAGAGGACCAGCAGCAGGAGCAGCTGAAGGAGGACTGGGAGGATCAGGATGACCAGGCAGGTGAGGATCTGAAAAGAGCGGGGCGACAACGATGGGGAAGAGCTCTGATCTAGAAATGGGGCCAGTGCTGGGGCGAGAGCGCCATTCGGAACGCCTGGACGACGGGAGCAAAGCGCCGATCCTGAAATGAGGCCCGCGCTGCAATGGGAGCGCCTTATCTTCTAAAAAAGGGTGTGCGAACCGAGCACACAGCAAAACAACGTCACTATGTAATGCATTGCGCCAGACAGCAATATCATCGACTGAGGCTGCGGACACTTTCAGCACGTCGTCGGAGAGGTAAGTGACTAGTACCGAAGACGCTTGCGGCGAATCACCGCCGCGCCCTGCCTTTGGAATCGCCCATGTGGCCCAGCGTTGTGGCAAGAGCTCCGCCAAGCTATCGGACCATATGTTCCCCCAGCCGTTGTGGAAACCATTCGGGGAACAGTTTGGGGAGGATGGCGGGGACGATCAGGCGGAGGAGGAGGAGGAGGAGGAGGAGGAGGAGGAGGAGGAGGAGGAGGAGGAACAACAAAACAGGGGCATCTTGGAAGCCTCTGGGGGCACTCTTGGGGCCTGGAGCTTCCTGGGGGCTTCTTGGAGGCATCTTGAGGGCCTCCTTGGGCCGCTTAGAGGCCTTGGGGGGCTTCTCAGGAGCCTCTTTGTGGCCATCTTTGGGCATTCCTGGCCCGTCTGACGTAGTCGGAGGCCGTCTTGGGGGCCTCTCTGGGCCGACTTGGGGCCCTCTTGGGGTGCTCTAGGGCCGACTTGGAGGCCATCTTGGGCGTCTTGGAGGCCTCGTGGGCCGTCTTGCGGCCCTCTTGGGTCCGTCCTGGGAGCCTCTTGGGCCGTTCTTGGGCCATCTTGGAGGCCTCTTGAGCCATCTTGGGGCGGTCTTTTGGGGCTCTGGGGCCAATCAATGATGTTGGCCTCTTCGGGCCTTCCTGGAGTACCTCTTGAAGGCCTCTTGGGCCGTCTTGGAGGCCTCTAGTGGGCGTCTCGGAGCGTCCTGGGCCATCCTGGAGCCGGCTTGGGCCGTCTTGGAGGCTTCCTGGGCGAACTTGGAGGCATCTGTGACTTCCTTGGGCAGTACTGGAGTCCATCTTGGACCATCTTGAGCGATCTTGGAGGCCATCTGAGCCGTCTTGGAGGCCATCTTGGGCCATCTTGGGGCGGTACGGGCATTGCTCTACAGATTTTGGGGTCCATTTCGGGGGGGGCGGGCGCGTTGGGCCAGAGCGAAAGGGGAAGTTCTGTTGGAACAAGAGCCAAAGCCAAACCAGCAGGGTCCAGCACGACAGGCACCCCTGTGATAAATCAATTGGGGGCGGCGGATCGAAGACGCCTACGGCGAATCACCGCCGCCCCATGCCTTTCTGGAAATGCCTATGTGGCTGAACGTTGGGGCCAGAGCTTGGCCAAGCTAGTGGACCATGTGTTCCCCGAGTGCTTTTTTTGTAAAAAAAACAATCCTTCGGGGAACACGCGGTCGAGAATAATCGTAATGAGGAATGTGATGTCGTTTCGTTCACCGTTCTTGGGGGCCTCTTCGGACAGTCTTCGGGGTCGCCTAACATAGGTGCGACCATAACATCGAAAGCTGTTTCGAAAGTCACAACTTTAACGAGCATTATTGCACCACTACTGATGCTCAGAGGGGTGGCGTGTCAGGCTCTCAGGTGAAGACATGTTTTGTCCAGCGCTGCCTCATAAGCGTTCCTGTGGACAGACGCTTCGGTGCATCACTCGGGCGAGCTGTCGGACCAGGGATTGCCCGACTCGCTTCTGAAATCTTTGGAGGACCACGTGAGCCTAGCTACTGGACAATGTGTTCCTTCAACTGGTCTGGAATCACGGGAAGAAAAGCACCCGGGCCCGAACATTGGCGTTGACTAAACGGCCCTGGGCGTGTACGAAACAGCCCTACCCTGTTCGATTCCTTCCTTGGGTGCGCTTACTGAACGGCTTCGCTTGCGGGGTTGGTTCTTATGGGGGTGGATCTGTTGCCCTCTATGGAAAGCCTTCGGGGGACACGTGGGTCGAGTGAACTCAGTGAGGTTGTCGCCCATCTTGGTTTTTTTCTGGACAGCCTTGGCGGCGCGCCGAGGGGGGCAGGGGGAGGGGGGAGGGCTTCTCAGAAGCACCCCTGCTTCTTAGAGGGCGCGGGCCTTGTCTGTAAACGTGAGGCTCGCTGCTTCTAAGAAGCAGCCCTCTTCTAAGAAGCCTTCCCCCTCTCCCCCCCGTACCCCCCCTGTGCGCGCCGCCAAGAGCCTGCGGGCTCGCCCACCGCACAAAGGGCGGGTGGTTCTCGGGCACGGTCGAGCTGTCCAGGGCGCCCGTCTTTGGGGGTCGTCTGGGGCGTGGCGTCCACATGTTTTCTTTGGGGGGGTCGTCTTCGGGGGCACACCTGCCCTCCTTCGTGCAGGAGGGAACGAAACACACAGACACGATTCATCGGCGATTCCCCAGAACATATGGGAAAATGTGGGAAGTGGGGGGGAAGACAAAAACCAAGAAAATATGGGGGATCCTGTTCTTTATGTGTATTTATTTGTGTGTCCCAGGGCCCCTTCATTCATGGCCGTCTCATGTGATGTTGAGCATGTCGTGGGCACTTGTTCCCCGAAGCCGCCCAGATCTGTTCCGGGGAGCGCCTGTGAAGTAGTCTGTACGGTGGGGGCGTTGGTAAGGGAATGCGCTCAGGATGCTGCAGACCCTGGAGAATTCCTTATCTGATGAGGGCGGCGGTGATATCCATGGCCAGGCCTCGATTGGAGTTCCACCAGCCTCCAGACCCTTGATTCCATATCTGGGGGTCCCTTATCCAATGCCCCCACCGTAGTTGTATCATCTGATTGGAGATATAATTTCGTTGACGTGCACTGCTTGTGCATTTTGTTTGCACCATGCTCGTCCGCAGGTGCATGCGGGATCAAGTTATCTTCAGGCTCCTTGGGCCTCTGGGGGCTCTTTGAAGATGCTTTGGCCGTCATAGGACGTTCTGGGCCCGTCTGACGCCGTCGGAAGCCGTCTTTGAGGCCTCTCTGAGCCGACTGTGGGCCCTGATGGGGAGTTTCAGGGCCGTCTTGGAGGCCTCTTGGGTAATCGTGATGCCCTCTTGGGCCCGTCTTAGGGCCCTCTTGGGCCGTCGCGGGGCCATCTTGGACGCCTCTTGGGCGATCTTGGAACTATCTTGAGGGCATCTTGGGCCGCTTTGGGCCGTCGGACAGCTGAAAAGATGGAAATGCCAAAGTCATCCATAAACCTACAGTAATCATGGATTTTGCGTTCTCAGGCCCTTCCAGGAGGACCACTTGAAGGCCTCTGGGGCCGTCGTGGGGGGCATCTTGGAAAATGTTTGGGCCACCTTCGGCCCTCTTGACGACATCTTGCCCGTCTTGGAGGCAATCTCGGATGCCTTGGAGGGCACCGAGGGGACTGCGGAGGGCAGCTCGACCCCGCACCGCGCCCCTGGCGCGCTGGCACCGCGAGGGGCGCGCTGGGGGCGCGAGGGGCCCACGAGGAGCACGAGGACGAGGAGCCCAGCAGCGGGGAGAGGGCGCCGCACGCTGCGCCAGGAGGGGCGCAGAGCGCCCGGGGGGATGGGCGGGGCGGAGGAGGGCCCGCGGGAGGCGCGCTGGTCGTCGGCGCCGTCGGCGCCCGTGAAGGCCGAGCTGAACGTGACCGGGGCGGGCTCTCGGGGCCGAGCCGGCAGCCTCGATGCGCGGTCCTCGGCCTCCTCCTCGATCCTCTGGCCTCCCTCGTCCTCCTCGGTCTTCGCCCCCCCCCCCCCCCCTTCGACCCTCGTCCTCGACCCTCCTCCGTGTCCTCCTCCTTCTCCTTCTCCTTCTCCTTGTCCTCCTCCTCCTCCTCCTCCTCCTCCTCCTCCTCCTCCTCGGTCCCGCTATCCCGGATCCTCCCTCTCGATTCTCCTCGATCTTGGATCCTCCTCCTCCTCCTCCTCCTCCTCCTCCTCCTCCCCCTCCCTCCTCCTCCTCCCTCCTCCTCCTCCTCCTCCTCCTCCTCCTCCTCCTCCTCCTCCTCCTACTCCTCCTCCTCCTCCTCCTCCTCCTCCTCCTCCTCCTCTCCTCCTCCATCCTCTATCCTCGATCCTCGATTCTCCTCCTCCTCCTCCTCCTTCCTCCTTCTCCTGCTCCTCCTCCTCCTCCTCCTCCTCCTCCTCCTCCTCCTCCTCATCCTCTATCCTCGATTCTCCCTCCTCCTCCTCCTCCGCCTCCTGCTCCTCCTCCTCCTCCTCCTCCTCCTCCTCCTCCTCCTCCTCGTCGGTCCTCCTCCTCCTCCTCCTCCTTTTCCTCCTACTCCTCGGTCCTGGGTCCTGCGTCCTGGGTCCGTCCTCCTCGATTCTCCTCGATCCTCAGAGGTGGCGGCGGGCCCTCGGTCCTCCTCGAGGGAGGCGGCGGGCCGATCGCGGGGGGGCCCGATGCGCGCCGCAGGGCCCTCGGGCTCTTGGCGGGGGATGCGGGCGCGCGCAGCTCTCGATCCGCCCTCCACCTTGCCTCGATCCATCCATCCTCCTCGATGCTCCTCGATCCTCGATCCTTCCCCTCCTCCTCGATCCTCCTCATCCTCCTCCTCCTCCTCCTCCTCCTCCTCCTCCTCCTCCTCCTTCTCCCCTTCTCCTCTCCAATCCTCCTCGATCCTCGATTTTTCCTCTCGATCCTCCTCGATCCTCTTCCTCGGTCCTCCTCCTCGGCTCTCCTCGGTCCTCCTCCATCCTCCTCGAGCCTCCTCGATCCTCCTCGACGCTCTTCGATGTCTCGAGCCTCGACCTCCCCGATCCTGGAGCATCCGCCCGACCAGACGGGCCTTGCCCTGTTCTCCCCCCCCTTCACGGGCACGGGCATCGACGGGGGATTCTTGTCAGCCCGAGCGTGCTTCCAGAGGGGAGGGGGCGGATCGGCCCCAGTCTCGCCCGCTCGCCCAGGGCGGAACCGAAAGGGAGCGGGCCTCCTCGGAGGGCGCGGGGGGCTTCTCGGAAGCCCCGGGGACTTCTGAGGAGCCCTCCGTGGCTTCGGGGGAAGTCTCAGCAGGCTTCTCAAGAGGGCCGGAGGTCTCCTGAGCCTCCTGAGAAGTCCAGCGCCTTCTGCCTTCCCGCCCGGGCGCGCCGCAGGGACGTAGTGCAGCGTGCAATCAGTCCCTACCAAGACATGCGCCGTTTCGTTTTTTTCGATGCGCGGTCCCCGAAAGTCCCGACCCGTTCCCCGGGACAGGTTTCTCATCCCGAGCCATTTTTGACGGTCTCGGGGCCCGGCGAGGGCCCCCAGAGGCAGAATATTGCTAAAAACCTACGGTCGTGATTTTGTACGACGCGATCGTGTCTGGGTAGGGCATCCGCCCAGCCGCCATGGCATGCCCTTTCCTGCGCAGCGCGCGTCACAGCACCACCGTGCCTAGCCTTACGGCCACCCTGGGCACCAGCATACGGTGCACACGCCCCCCCCTGCCGAGGTCCAGAGGGCCTTCAGCCCATTCTCGGGCCCGTGGTGGCCCTTCCAGGCAGGGCGCTGGTTTACACGTGCCTTCTGCAAATTCGATCCTCGCTTCCGAGGAGGAGCAGGTACCCTTACCTCTACCCTCCCCGCCCTCCCCCTTTTTCGGGAGAGGCGCCCTCCCCCTCCCCTCCCCCTTCCCCTTCCCCAACGCACCCCGGGAGAGGTCCGAGGTGCAGCGGTATCGGTACCTTTTGGTTTCCCCATCGCTGCTCCACCCGATGCATCCTATCAGCTGTCCCGGTACGAATCTCGTGTAGCCCGAGGACTGCACAAGCGATGGCTTGTCTGTGTGAAGAGAGGGAGTAGAAGGAGGAGGAGGAGGAGGAAAAGGATGAGGATGAGGAGGAGGAGGAGGAGGGGAGGGGGAGGAGGAGGAGGAGGAGGAGGAGGAGGAGGAGGAGGAGGAGGAGGAGGAGGACGAGGAGGAGGAGGAGGAGGAAGAGGAGGAGGAAGGCCAGGCAATACCAGTCGCACTCCGACCAGAAACACAAGCTTTCGTACAGGTCACATTTTGAGATCTACTCATGGTTAATCCTGCGACTGGAACCGAACATGTAGATTATTGGTTTTGCAGTGTGGGCCGTTGTCTCCTTTCGCGTGCCCAAATGCAGTTCAGAGCTTAGTTCTGGTGACAAACATCGGTTTCCTGACACTGGGCGTTTTACAGGGGCATTTGCAGTCAATTTGCTCCGTTGAATGAATGGTGCGCACGGTGCCAATACTTTGCTGACGAAGGCTTTGGCAAGTTACATTTCTAAGCGTCTTCAAACATCATTGAGATGTTAATGTACGCGTCATACAAACTGCAGGGCGCATATGGTTGCCATACTTGGCAGAAGCTCTGATGTTTTGGCATTGCCTGTTAGCCCGTGAACAGTCATCAAGTTTTCGTTCCAGGTCCACGTAGTTGTTCACAGTTTGGACCTGCGGAGGTAAGAGGTGAACGCTAGCCTGCCGTCCTCTCCTTCCTGTCATGGCCTCGTCTGCCCGCAGCAGTGTGGAGCTGCGTAGGCATCTTTCCTCAGGGGGCCCTCGTTCGCTCAAGCGGTGCTCCGTCACCGCCATCGGGCGCGTGAGCAGCGCCTGGCCCGATCCCTTCGCGGACACGGAGACATGCCCGCGCTTTGCCCGCACGGTGACTGGGGCGGACGGGGCGGGCCCCCCACCGCGAGGTGAAGAGCGAGAGGCCGCTGAAGAACTGGGAGGTGGATCGGGACAAGAAGCGCAAGGAGGCGCTCAAGCGAGACACGGAGGGCCGGGCAATGCCAGGAAATCGAAGCAGAAAAACCACATGAACACCGATGTTCGGCGCTCCGCGCGGATTTCTTGGATCTGCGCTGGGGCCCCTTTGCGACGACTCTGGCGCAGCCCCCGGCGCGCTCCGCTCGGGGGGTCCAGCGCAGATCCAAGAAATCCGCGCGGAGCGTCGACAATTTGTTTTTTGTGCTTTTGTGTTTTTTTCCTTCCTCTAGGAATGCCGTCGTAGTTTCCCGCCGTGGTCGTAGATCCCGTCGTCGTCCTCGATCTCGGCAATGCCGTCATCGTGCGTCGTCGTCGCCCTTGCGTCGTCGTCCCCTTGCCGTGGCAGCAGCGGGGATCCAAGCTGACGTCGCAAGTGTCATGGGACCTCGGAGATTACAAAACAGCATAAACACAAATTTTGGGAGCTTCGCGGGCATCGCTCACATTCGCGCCAGGACCCCCTGGCGGCGCCTCCGACGCAGCCTCTTGCGCGTTCCGCGCGCCAACGAGGCGTTTCAGCGCAGATCCAAGGAATCCGCGTGGACCTCCGAAAGTGTATGATTATTCATTCCTGTATACCTTTAAGACCTCGCGGGTGGCGCCATGAGGCGTTGCAGCGAGAGAGGCGCTCAGGCGAGACACGGAGTGCTTGGAGATGTCGGGGATGCAGCATTCGGTGCTCGACCATACGGGGCCCAAACATATACACCGCCACCACTTCCCTCGCCCACTCCCTCTCCCAGGAAGAGGAAAGGAATAGGAGGGTAGAGGAGGGAGGAGGAATCGACGTGGTGGTGGTTTATATTCTTGGGTGCCGCAGACCAGTCACCACACGCGGGAGGCTCCCTCGCATGGGCGCAAGCAAGCCGCAACTGGCGAGACAGTTGGTTGACTGGGCGGTGAGGCAAGCTGGCGGCGCAGGTGGAACCAAGCAAGGCGGCTCCTGCAGGTTACGGGCGCCCGCCCGTCACGATTCTGCGAGCTGTCATATCGCCTCTCGCCGATTGCGCCATTCAGGATCTTCCACCAGAACGGGCGGAGCAGCAACCGTGGACCACGCCGCGCCTTCCAAGAGTTGCTTCCTCTGCCGTGGCTAAGGCAGCCCTTGGCTCGGCGTAAATCTGCGGCAGATCTCTGGAGGGGCTCATGCTCTGAGGACCGCGTGGGCATCCCTGTCAGCTCAACCTCCCGCCTGCAGGCTTCGGACACCGCGACGTGTGGATCGTCTCTGGAATTACGCACAGGCTGAGCGTGAGCAGAATGTTTCCAAAAGCCCGGCATGTCTTGTGCACACGTGTGTCGGGCGCGAACTATTGGGGGGGGGGGCGATGCATGGGGCCAGAGGAATGTGTCTTTTTCGGGCCCTGAAGGCTCTTGAATCGCGGAAAAGGAGGACACCATACAAGCAACGGTACCCTCCGCGCTTGGATCTCTCTTCCACTTCTCAGGTGAGGACCGTTTCGGCCCCAGGTTCCTACACAGATCTTGCTTGCCCGAGTCTCTCTTAGGGGTTGGCGACTGCGATGTGCATCCGAGCATCTTGCTTTCCAGGGAAGCGCTTGTGAACAATACGCCCTCAGGGTGCGCCCAGGACTTGGCAACCCTACCGGGACAGACTGCGGTGGCCTGGAGAAGCACAGCAGCATGGGCGTTGAGGTGAGGGTTTATTGGAGAGGCCTGACGGCCGGTGCCGCCGACCCTGATCGAAGGGCTAGGAGTGGGGGGAGGAAGCGGAGGAGGAGGAGGAGGAGGAGGAGGAAGAGGAGGAGGAGGAGGAAGAAAAAGAAGAAGGATAATGAGAAGAATAATATTACTACTAATAATAATAATAATGATAATACGAATAACAATAAGAAGAAGAATAAGAAGAAGAATAATAATAATAAGAAGAAGAAGACGAAGAAGAAGAAGAGGAGGAGGAGGAGGAGGAAGAAGAAGAAGAGGAGGAGGAGGAAGAAGAAGAAAAACAGGAGGAGGAGGAGGAAGAAGTGCATCCTTTGTGTGCCCGCTCGAAGAAAGTGCGCCCCGGGAGTGTGATATTCTGACTTGGGACGTGCTCCCGGAAGAGGAAGAAGTGCATTTCGGGCGTGCCCGCTCGAGGAAAATGCGCCCTAGGGGGGGTGGTATTTTGACTCGGGGCCCGCTCCCAGGACGCCTCTGCGGGAGGAGGAGGAGGAGGAAGAGGAGGAGGAGGAGGAGGAGGAGGAGGAGGAGGAGGAGGAGAAGGAGGAGAGGAGCAGGAGAAGGAGGAGGAGGAGGAAAGAGGAGGAGGAAGTGCATCCCGTGCGTGCCCGCTCGAGGAAAGTGCGCCCCGGCGGGCGTCGTATCTGCCCCGGGCCCCCCCCCCCCTGCGGGGAAGGGATCAAAGGGAAGGGGCTTCCCTTCGACTCCACTACGACGTCGTTTAATTACGCTTTGGATAGCGCGCTTGACGAGGAGAGCCCTGGGAGGGGGAGAACGGAGACGACGGAAACGACGAGTCGAACGGAGAAGCCCCTCACACACGCCGACAGGGTCGGCGGATTTTCGAGGCTCGGCAGAAGGCGGAGGGAGTCAACCCGCTCTGAGGACAAGTCTCGCCGCCTTCTGAGAAGGCCTTCCAATTCTAATTTCTCCCCCCTCGCTCTTTGCGTGCCCTTCAGCACCCCTTTGGCAGCGCCCGAGCAGAGGCTGCCTGTAGAGGAGGGAGCAGCATTCGCACCAGAGCGCGCACGCAAACCCCTGAAGGCAAGCGTCCGGTGCGCTCGCGGAGGCGGTCGGGCTGGCGACGCAGTGGGCTACCCATGGGGGCGCGGCGCCCGCGTCCGTGCGGGCACGACTGCGGCAGCTTTGGGCGACAGCCCCTACACGTTCCGTTGAGAACGCGCGTGGCGCCACGAGGGGCACCATCGCGGGTTTCCTCCTCCTCTTCCTCCTCATCCTCCGCATCCTGCTCCTCCTCCTCCTCCTCCTCCTCCTCCTCCTCCTCCTCCTCCTCCTCCTCCTCCTCCTCCTCTTCCTCCTCGGCGAGCGTGTCCCTCGCGGCCCGCACTCTTCGGCCGCGACCCTGGCAGGCGCCTAGGCGGCCTGGCGCGGGTGCCCCACCGCGGGGCGCACGTACGCGCGGGATCGCGCCGCACTTGCCCAAGACGCGAGGTCACCGACGCGGACATCTCCCTCGCTCGTGGCGCCAGTTGCTCGGCTGCCAGTTGCGGGGTCGTGTTGCGTATTGGGGCGGCCAAGGCCAGCTGATTGTCGGGGAGCGGGCTAAGACAGCCGAAGAAAAAAAATGCCATAAACGTAAATTTGTGGCGCTCCGCGCGGATCTCTTGGATCCGCGCTGGGCCCCCCCAGCGGCGCCTCTGGCGCCGCACCTGGCGCGCGGAACGCGCCATGGATGGGGTCCGGCGCAGATCCAAGAAATCCGCGCGGGCCGCCAAAAGTTTATGTTCATGTTGTTTCTTGTTCCTCTCCTATCGGAGCGGCCAAGGCCACCTGCTTGTCGGAGAGCGGGATAAGAGAGGACAGCGAGCGTCACACACACTCGGCGGCGAGGCCTCTTGACTCGGCAGCCATGGGGGGGAATGGTTCGCGCCCTGCGGCAGCGGGAGAGAGGGAGAGGCTGAAGGGCGATCTGGGCTCAGAGAGAGGGAGAGGCTGCGGAGGCTGCCTAGTCGGCGATCGGGGCTCAGAGGGAGGAAGGGATCTGTGAACAGTGGGAAACCGACCCCAGCCCCCACAACAATGGAATTTTACGCGTCAGCAATCTTGCAAGTACGGCGAACGTGTGTGAGTGCAAGCGCCCTGTAAGCGAGGCTATTACCAGCTGCCGCAGGGGGGGGGCCGTGCGCGCGCTCCAATTAGTCCAGAGTTCCTCATGTGGGGGCCGGGGGCTGTTTTCATGCGTTCAATCTTGGCTGTGGTCGACTAGACGTAAGAGTAACCTTTCGCCGGAGTGACTTTTGGTGCGGGCACAGATGGGTCCTCAGATGGTTGAACGCGAAGCGGTAGCAGCGGCTTGCGCGCCCAGGTTTGGTCTCCCCGCGGTCCCCAAAAAGCCGCGCATCAAGGGTCACTATTACCCAGGGTCGCTCTTACGTGTAGCCGGTGTGGGGAGAGGCCATTGGTCTAAGCGGCCAGCTGCCGCAGGGGGGGGCCGTGCGCGCGGTCCATTTTGTCTAGAGCTCCTCATGTGGGGGCCGGGGGCTGTCTTCATGTGTTCATTCTGGGCTGTGGGGAGGGGCTGCAGAGAGAGAGAGAGAGAGAAGGAGCGCAACAGAGGGGCTGCTCCTTCAGCGGGCGGGGGGCAGGCCTGCAAGGCGATCTGTGTGATAAAGCACGGTCTACGCCAGCCAGAGGCGCAGGCGGCCAAGGGGAGAGGGCACGGCCGTGCGCGCGGGAGCGGAGGGGGGAGCGGCCAGCAGGGGGGACCGATCGGTAAGGCACGGCAGGAGCAGGGGACATGTGTGCGATAGGAGCACGGCCTGCCTGAGCCAGAGGCCCAGGCGGCAGGCGGCAAATGGGGGGGGGGGCTCAGCGATGCCCGCGAAATGAGGAGGGGGGTACACTTCGCCTAGCACCCCCTCCCTCCTCCTCCTCCTCCTCCTCCTTCTCCTCCTCCTCCCCCTCCTCCTCCTCCTCCTCCTCCTCCTCCTCCTCCTCCTCCTCCTCCTCCTCCTCAAACAACGCACAGCCATACATTTTCGGAGGCCCGTCCGGATGTTTGTTTCGGTCGGCGCCAGGCCCGTCTGGCGGCACCTTTGGCGCCGCGCGCCATGGGGAGGGATGTCCAGCCCCGAAGTTGCCGCGGACCTCCGAAAATACATGTTTATCAATATTGTTTAGCCGCTACAGTCGGGGCGCTGAAGAAGGAACCCTTTTCGTTGGGGAGGGGCTCCGCGTTCCTTACGTGTTTCGCAGCTTGCCTCAGGTTTTCCTTATGTTTTCGATCGCAAATCGAAGTTTAACTTAAGGAAGAAAGGGGCCTCGTTCCTTATTTTGGGTTCCTTAGGTCAAGGCCCCGACTGTACCTATCCCCCATCCCCATCCCCATCCCCGCCATCCCACCGCCTTCGTTGGGACATGCCCCTCGGAGCTCGAATGGGATAGCCCATATCCCCAGCTTGGGGGGGGGTAACGTGGCCACTGGGGCCCAGGCCACGCCGGTGGGGATAGGGATTGGTTAAAAGCTGCTCAGTCACGCGCAGAGTGGGGTGGCAGACCGGCGGGGGGAGGGCTGTCGCAGACCGTCAGGCCAGGATCAGAGGGAGGAATGCGCCCGAGGTAGTGCTCGCAGGCGATTTCTCGCCCCAGGGGGAGGAGGAGGAGGAGGAGGAGGAGGAGGAGGAGGAGGAGGAGGAGGAGGAGGAGGAGGAGAGGAGGAGGAGGAGGAGGAGGAGGAGGAGGAGGAGGAGGAGGAGGAGGAGGAGGGGGAGAGGAGGAGGAGGAAGAGGAGGAGGAGGAGGAGGAGGAGGAGGAAGAAGAAGAAGAGGAGGAGGAGGAGGAGGAGGAGGAGAAGGAGCAGGAGGAGGAGGAGGAGGAGGAGGAGGAGGAGGAGCTCAGAGAAGTGGGGGAGCGCGTGGATACACCCCCAGGGGGCCATTCGGGTGGACCCACATCGAGGATCGACGCCTCCCCCCCCCTTCGTATATCCCCGAGTTTGGCCCGACATGGCTGGTCATCCGAAAGCGCCACAAAGTCGGGGAGTGGGGTCGCCATACCCCCCGTTCTTTGCAACAGCGCGCGGGGCTTCTGCCACCACCGCGTGCTTCGCTCCGCATGTCGCTCAGCCCCCTCCCCCGCCCGGGTGGCCTCCATGCTGTAGGCACGCTTGGCACCGTGGCCCCGGTAGTCGCGTTCCGGTTGGACGGCCGTGTAAGGGACGCGTCGGCAGTCGAGAGGAAGGTCGTAGCCCCAGATTATCAGGTCTGGGGGTGGTAACGGGTCGCTACTGAGTCGTGCCACGGGAGCCCGCTGTGCAGTTGCCCTGGGCCAGAGTTTTCCCAGAGAGTGTGGGCCTCTAACCCCTCCCGAACCACCGGGGCCAGGGGCGGTCAGTGGGTCACTCCTGGTTCGTGCGCCGGGCGCCCCAAGCCGGGAGCTACCCTGGACCATAGTTATCCCAGATATCATGGGCATCCAAGAAGGAGGAGGAGGAGGAGGAGGAGGAGGAGGAGGAGGAGGAGGAGGAGGAGGAGGAGGAGGAGGAGGAGGAGGATGGGGGTTGGCCCTGCCACCACCCCATGCTTCGCTCCGCACGCCGCTTGCCGTGGTGGCGTTAGTCTTCCTCGTGTCCGCGGTGCGGGGCAGTCCCCATGGAGGGGCAGCGGCTTCTGCCTCCTGTCATGTTCTGCGGGGAGCGCCTCCCTGCAGTACTCCTGCAATGCCCTGCCGGAAGTGCCCCAACAGTTATGCAGCCCCCCTGCATTGCTCCGCAATGCTCTGACGTGTCACCCCCCCCCCTCGGGGGAGCGTAAGACCCGGGTTTGCCGGGACTCGGGTTCGCCATCGTTTTTTGACGACCGCGACTCGGATTTTGACGAGGAGGAGTTTCGTGGGATGTCTGCAGCGGGAGGCCTCGTCAAAATGCAGGCTCGGCCTCGTCATTTTTTTGACGACCTCGTCGGGGATTTCCGAGTCCCCCGTACTCGGGTCTTACGTCTCCCCGACCCCCTAGTGGCCCTCTGCTGCAGCTGCCCGTGGCCCCGGCTGACGGGCTGCGGTCGGGCGGCCGCGGGAGGCCTTCGTCGGCGGCCGAGGGGGAGAGGAGGGGGATGCGTGGGCTGGCCGCGGGGCTTCCGTGCGCCGATGTGTATCCCTTGGGCGTGCGCCCGTTCCCTCTGTCTCCGGTCTGCCGCTCCTCCTGCCCGCTCCCGCTCCTCCGATCACACGCCCGACTCGCGTTGACAGAACGTTGCGCGCTCTTACTGTTGATTGCCGCCTGCGATTGGCGCCTCCTCTCTCGGATTCACTGGGGCGTTCCTCCCTCCGGCCCTAGTCGTCCCTGTTTGACCTCTCTAATGGGTGCCCTCACTCCCTGTCTGGCTTGCTCCACAATTACTCAATATGAAAATACTCTCCCTCTTCCCCTGATGGCGTCCGGGTGATGGCCGCGCACCCTCCGCGTACTGTTTTTTTACACACAGGATTCCCGGGAAATCCCGGGAAACGACTCTCGCTGAGGCGCCGGCGTCATTTTTTCCCAAAATGCTGCTCTCGTTCAGGCGCCGGCCTCATTTCTGCTCCCGAATCGTTCCGAATCGTGCTCCCGCTGCAGCGTGGGCCTCATTTTCGGATCGGTGTTTGGCCTCCGTCGTTCAGGATGGCGTTCTCGCCCCAGCGCGGGCCTTTTCTCGCGCGCCCATCCGCCCGCCACCACCGCGCCGCACCGCCACCACCACCACCACCACCACCACCACCACCACCACCACCACCACCACCACCACCCACCACCAGCACCAGCACCAGTACCAACACCACCACCACCAGCACCACCACCACCACCCACCACCACCACCACCACACCACCACCACCACCACCACCACCACCACCACCACCACCACCACCACGACAACCACGCACACACGCACGCACGCACGCACGCACGTGCACCACCACCCACTACGCACGCGCGCGCGGAGCCACAGGTCCGCTACGACACGCGTCCGCGGATATAGAGAAAATCAGCGCCATGGTAAGGGATGGGAGGGAGGGGTAGGACGTCAGATATGACGCGAGCGCACCTAGCTTGCCTGAAGCCCCTCTCTTGCATGCCCCCCCCCCTCGAGCCATATGAGCCTCTATTCCGCGGTGGTTCCTCGAGAATGCCTCCCAGACGCAGCGTCAACCTCGGGGGTTTTGGCGGGCTTTGAGTTCAAATCGAAATCGATGCGTCAATCTTGAAGACCACGCCGACATAGAAGTTCCCAAGACATCAGGGAGCCAAAGCATTCGAACCGCCGATGCGACCCACAACACGGCAAAGGGGAAACATCGACCGACAAAACGATTGGCCCATTCCGGCATCTCCACGAAGGATGATTGACAGCAGAAGGCACATATTTCCAGTTATTTCAGATGCCCTCCCCAAAGTTGTCGACTATATCTTTATATGTGCCCATCTATATAGTGCCCATTGGATGATTGCTCCCACACCTAAGCCATGTTTGTGAATTGACCGCCCCAGGCCATGCAGCTGGACGGCAAAGGATATATACCTGACAACTGGGATGCGGATTTCAAGGCATCGTATTTGCTCTCTTCCTCTCTCTCTCTCTCGTGCGTTTGCTTTGTTTGTTGATCGAATCAGACGACCGCGATGGAAGCCCGGCAGTTCATTGCGTGGAGAGTAAGGCCATGCCAAGGCAAGGGGATAGCGTCAAAGCCGGGCAGGGCACGGTGCGTGCTGGCAGAGGGAAGCGCAGCTCTGCGCAGCAGGCGAGGCACGGCAGTACGAGAAGCAGCAGGGCGAGAAGCGAGGCCCAGGAAGCGCAGCGGTGCGCAGCCTGGCAGGCGAGGCACGGCGCGGCCAGAGCGGACAGGGCCATGGCAGACGCGGTGGCACCACATCGCCGCTGCGTCGGCGAGGCGGCTCGAGGAGCGAGGTCTTGGGTGGCGTGGATAACCGTGGCAGGGCCGATGCAGTCTCTTCTTCGTCGTCTTCTTCTGCGTCGTCTTCGTCGTCTTCGTCTTCTTCGTCTTCGCTCTGTGGCCCCCTCTTCTTCGGCTTCTCGTGCGTCCCTGGCCCGGCCCCCCGCCCCACGCTGCGCACACGATGCCCTGCCGTCCTCTCGTTCTGGGCCACGTTTCAGCCCTGGCCTGCGGAAGGCAATCCGGGTCAGGGGTCTCGGAGCGGGCGCGGGGCTAGTCAGTTCAGAGCGTTTCTGTTCCGCCCGCGGCAGGCCTGGCGCAGGTCAGCATGTACATAAGCGGGTTCGCTATGTTTCTGTCGCCGAAGGCTCAAGCCTTCCAAAGGCTTGGCTACGGGCGGCAGCGGGCCACGAGTCATAAGCATGCAGTCCCTCGCTGCTCTCTGCTAGCTGAGATTTGTCAGGAGCACTGCCGATCGTCGGGTTGGTGCGCTCTCTCCTTATCGTTTTCGCCCTTATGGCAAGTGTGTCAGGAGCACCTGGGCTCCTATGTCAAGTTCTTGCTGACAAGGCCAGACCAGTTCAAGGTGACCGAGGGTAGCGGCCCAGGTTTGTTCACCGTGGAGAACGTCGCGGGGAACGACACCGTGCCCCCGGAGAAAGTGCCCGCTTGGGGCTCTTGGAGAAAAGGCGGCAAGGCGTGCGCTTTGCCTCTTGCAGTGCTTTGGAAGAGGCTGTGCTTTCCGCGTCTCCCAGTCTTCCGTTTGAGATGTAGGCAGCGACGCTCGATGCGACTATCACGGTGGTATGCAGGGGAGTCAACCTAGGAAGGCTTCAGCTCTGAATCTAAGGGCGCGTTACATATGTGGCAAGGCGTTCCAAGGTTCTTGCATTTCCAGTGTCATAAGTTTCGAAGCGAGTGCGCAGCGCCTGCTCGACGCCAGGCCGAGCACGGAGCCGTACCTTCGAGAGCTGTCTTTGACTGTATTGGGCCACCTCGGGGCCATCTTGGTGCCTCGTGGGTTTTTTTCGGGGCCATTCGGGGGCCTCCCACCCATTGATCCGTGCTCTTGGGTCCCTATTGGTCCGTCTTGGGGCTCTGTTGAAACCCTATTTGGGCGCTCCTGGAGCGCTCCTTGGGTTTCTTCGGTTCCTTCCTGCCGCTCTTCTGTTCTCCACTCGGAGCCATCTTGGGATTTGGGAGACATCTGAAAGCCTCAGAAGCGCATCGGAAACGAAGGGGCGAGGAAGCCCAAATCATTGAACAACACTGCTTTTCAATGGTGTTGGCCTCTTGGGGGCCATCTTGGAGGTCTCGCAGACCTGCTTTCCACCATCTTGAGCCACCTTGGGCCCATCTTGGGGCCTCTTGGGCTGGTTCGGGGCCCCTGTAGTGTCCTCCCACTCACCGATCACTGCTCTTGGGCTGCTCTTGGGCCCCTCCTTGAGCTCCCCCTGGAGGATGCCGTGTGGCCACATTTAGGGTCCCGAGGGCCGTGCTTGGAAGAACTTGGCATCGCACGGACGTCGGCGAGGGCCATCGAGGAGCATCCTGGATCACCGAGCAACAGAAACACGCGAAATCAGAAAACGCATGGGAAATGGATTTCCGAGCGATGGCGAGAGAAAGCACACATCTGATCCGACAGTGCCGGCCGGCTGCCTGCTGGTTGTTGGGGCACTCGTCTTCCAGGACACTCCCCGGGGGGCCGCGGGCGCGCTGAGTTGTGTACGGCCGCACCGAGGTATCAGAGGTCGAGGCCGGTTGGGAAAGGGTGCCCTAATGTTCTTCGTGTCTGTTGGGCACTATTGCGCATCTGCGGCCGCCCTCTCTCTCTTTCCCCTCTCTCTTGCCTTGGCATCGCTCGGACGTGTGAATTTTTCCTTCGGCGAGGACCATCGAGGAGCATCCCTGATCATCTGGCGAAAAAGCCACGCACGAAACCGACAAAAAAAGCACAGGGAAGGGACGTCCGAGCGATGGCCAGCTGCACGCGGGCTGAGCTGCGACCCCGCGCCCCCAGCGCCACTCGGACGCGCGGGCGGGGCTCGCCTCTGCCGCGCGGCGGCGTGACAAAAAGTGCCTCCTCGGGGGGGGGGGGGGAGGGTGCCCTCGCCCTCGAGCGCTCTTCCGGTTGGCCGTCGGAGGGCCTCGTGTTCCTGAAGGGCATTACCCATCGGTCATTGAGAGTGGGTATTTTTGGGATCCCCAGATTGCAATCTACTTTCGGCGCCTTCCTGCTTCAAGAGTCGAGCGGCTTTCCCTCTTCCTTCCTCTTCAGGAGGCGTGCGGAAGCCCAATCCATTTCCAACGCCTTCCTACTTCATGTTTCTACCTACTTCTTCCGACCGATGGGTATTCTGTCCTGGATCCATCTGCACATCGGAGTGAGGGGCCGGACCGTCCTGCAGTCGACACCGATGGCGAGGATGGGTCACCTCCCCAAGGGTACCCTTGCCTCCCTGCCTCCTCGGGCCATCCTTGGCCACAGTCGATGGGCAGCCCCGCTCGAAAGGCTTCGGCATTTGCGTCCAACGGGCTCGCACCCTCATCGCCCATCTTCACTATCAGTTGTGGCTGTGCAGCGTCCGATGGGTGCGTGGCGGAAGTGGGCGTCCGTGGCCTGGAGTCTGCCTGTTGGATGTTGTCGCCGTCCTCCCCCCGCGACCCGACTGCGACCCTCGCCGCGACCCACCCCGCGACCCACCCTGCGACCCACCTCACGACCCACTCGCGACCCACCTGTGACCCACGCCGCGCCCGCCACCCCATTCTTACCCGCAGATGCGGGGTGCCACGTACACATACGCTTGACCTTCTGACGGCAGAATCTAGCACCTCTTTGGCCTGCTGGGTTGGCCAATTCAAAGGCTCTGACATCCAGTTTCAGAACCCATGCATGCTGCATGCGTAGAGTTGCACGTCCATTGCGTAGCAAGGATCAGAAAGTACGCAGCAAGGTCTCAGTCGACTACGGTCCGCAGGGCGACCCACTGATCAGAGTGGAAGGCATGTTAGTGGGATCCACTAGTGACTCTGAAAGCAGCTGTTCGCCAGCAGCTTTCCCAGCGCAATCTGTCTACAGACAAGGTACAGCGTCCCAGCTCTGACAATTCTAGTATATTCTGGCGGTGGAGACAGTGGCAACAGCGGCGGCGGCAAACCAGCACGCCTGGTAGAGGAATCGATTCCGCACGTAGCCTGGAAACGAGTGTCGTGTTCCCCCCAGATCTTGGCATTGCACTGTTTCTTCGCACTGGGCGTTTTCGCTTGGTTTCGGGCCCTGGGCCATCACATATTGATCTGGCTTGAAAAGTTCCGCAGGCATGTTGGATCTGGGGCTCCAGTCCTGATGTTTCGCGATATTTCAGTGTTTGTTCGCATCATCGGATCTCAAGAATGGTCTTCTGCAGGGAAGCTTCACCAGTCGACGGGAAATGTCGAGACGAGACGGTGGACGCGAGACCCATCCGCCGGTGACGTATGACATTGCAAACAAAGGCGCGTGGACACCCATGCAGGGGCGCCCGCACTAGCCACGACAAGCAGTGCTGGGCATGGGCTGGCAGGGCGGGGGGGAGGGCCTGTGTGGCAACCAGCGCTGGCGACGGGCGCCTCCGATTCTTCGCAACGTCCGCAGGAAAACTGCAGCGAGAGGCGTGTTGCGCGAACGGGCACCGGCACGCTGCTCGTGTCTCCCGTCCTCCGTCCCTCGCCAGATTCCTGGTCAAGAGTAGCTGCTTGGCATCCACGTCTGGCTTTTCCGATTTGCGCGAGCGCCAGGCCTGGGACGAAGAGTGTTCTCCGTCTCCCGAGCTGGCTGCTGCAGGGGTCGGAGCTCATTGCTTTCACTGCCTTTCAAGCCGCGAGGCCCCCGGCGTCAAGACCGAGGACGGCGGCAAGGGCGGCAAGTCTGGGCCGAAGGGGCCGGCCTGTGGCAAGGGCAGAGGCTCTGCGCCGCTCTTCTGGCCACGCTTGACCCCCACCACGACCCTTCCCTTCCAGTCCCAGGCGGGGGTATTCCGTATCCCCCGCCTCATAAGTCGATCTCGGGGGTCTTCGGCAGGCGGTGAGTATTATGGATATGCAGTCGGCCTCTTTGCACCTTAAAGGAATTCAAATCCACCGCCCGCTGGGGTCCCAGGACGTGGGATCTTCAGGCGGTGGATCTGGATATCCTTTTGTATATTGATTCTGATATATCTATATCTTCATTATATATATATAGATACATAAATTTGTTGGCCAGGGTGGGACCCAAGCCGTGTCCTCCCAGCGACCTATGTTGTGCAATGTCTGTGGAGCAATCTATGTGGTGCAACTCACTTTGACCGTCTTGAAGCTATCCTCTCCACTGCTCGTGCAAACATCCCACCCTCCCACCCGCAACTTGGTCGCAAGACCTCTTAAGACAAGACCGTGACGGTAGGTACCACATGGCGCTTGGACACGACACCGACGCCGACGACGACAGCGACAACGACGACGACGGCGACAACGACGACTACGACGACACCGACGACGTCTCCAACGACTTCGACGACGACAACGACGACGACGACGACACCGACGACGACGACGACGACGCCGACGACGACGATGACAACGCCGACGACGACGACGCCGACGATGACGACGACGCCGACGCCGACCACGACGAAGACAACGACGACGACGACGACGACAACGACGCCGCCAACGAAGACGACGACAACGACTGGGACGACGACGACAACAAACAACAACAACAACAACAACAACAACAACAACAACAACAACAATTACTAGCACGTGGGGACACTCCGTTCTCACCAGTGCCAGGGTTTTCATAGGAGGCGGGCAATACCCCCACTTTGTGGGGGGGCCGGTTCAAGCTCTACCAAATTTCCAAACGACTCTTCGCCACCACCCACACCCAGCTTCCCGCCCTATGACGTTCGGACACTTCACTTCGTGGCATGCGGACGACCGTGGCTACTATTCAGGGCCCCGCGGCCGACGACGACGGCGTGCGCGCGCGAAGAAAAAACGAATGTGTCCCGCATGGTATTATTTGACAGGGATGATGGCCCTGGCAGGTGCGCAACCGTTGTTGCAGAAGTTCGAAAAAGTTGCTCGCAAAAGCCCGTTTGACAGAAATGTTTAAAAAGTGTTGGGTTTCCTACGAATCCGCAAGAGCGCGCGGATGAAATTTCGACATTTTTTTTTTTTTTTTTTTTTTGAAAAACCATTGGTTTTTTGATGTTTTAATGTTAAAATCGCTACGAAAACTAAGGTTTTGGAAGGATTTCGTCTTGCGCGCGCGAATGTCCACTTTACTTTATTTTTTGCAAGGGATTCTTGAAGTTTGGATATGTTAGAACAAGAAATTTCATTTTATAGTGTTTTTTGCAACGCAAAGCGGGGGGGAACAAAACAACCGGATCTGGATCACATCGTTTTACCTGAGGCTTCCTCACGAAAGTGATGAAAATGTGGCTGCGGCCTAGGCGCGGCGGGGGGGGCGCGCACCAGGGGTCCCAACAATAATTATTCTTAAGAAGAAATAATGTTCAACAACAACAACAATCATTCTAAGACTGCTCGCTCCTTTGTGCCCGCGTGTCATTCACTATGCATATCCCAAACCCTGGATACCCGCCCTCTTCGTCTTCGATCGTACCCCTCTTGGGGGGTTATGTTTCTTCCCGGCCACGTGTAATTGGAGAAGCGCGGGAGGCGAACCCGCAATCAGACGCAGCGAGCTCTGGCACTTGTCGGTGAGACCCCCTTTCACTTGTCGCAAGCAGATCTGCGTGAGGGGTGCCACCGATGTTCGAAATCGTTGCAAATCCCTTGTGTTTTTGACCATGACGTCGCGATCTGCGTGAGGGGTGCCACCGATTTTCAGAATTCCAAGGATGTCCCAAGCGAAACGGCCGGAAAAATCCCGGACGCGGCCGCGCGGGGCCGCGCGGCCGCGCGTACGCATTAATCGCCTCTGAGTTCTATTCCCTCGGAGAGGTGCGTATGAGAACAATAATTATTGAATCGCTTCGCTCATTCCGCCGGCCCATTTCGCATGACTGAGCCTCTTGGGGCCGCTGGGGGGCCTCTTCAGCGTCGCTCGGGGGCCTCCTGAGGGCCTCTTGGGGGCTTTTGGGGCCTCTCAGGGGCCTCTTGAGGCCTCCTGGGGGCTTCTTAAGGCCGAGGGCTCGAAGTTTTGTTTTGTGTTCCCCCTTTGGGGCATCGCTTGGGGCCCTCTTGGGCGCCTCTTGGGCCGTCTTGGAGCCCTCTTGGGCCATCTCGGGGCCTTCTTGGGAGCTTCTTGGGCCCTCTTGGGGCGATCTTGGGGGCCTATTGGGCCGTCTTGGGGCGTCGGAAAGCCGAAAAGATGGACACGCCAAAATCTGCCCAAATCTAAGGAGAAGTAATGAGTTTTGCCTCTTGGGGCCCTCTGGGGAGTGCTCTTGGAGGCCTCTTGGGGCGTCTGGGGGCATCTTGGGCGTCTTGGAACGATCGTGTGGCATCTCGGAGCACTCTTGAACCATCTTGGAGGGCTCTTGGCGGCCTCGTGGCCCTTCTTGGGGCTCTCTGGAGGGCCACGGGTGCGGCGCCCAGGAGGAAAATCATCTCTGACCCGAGCCTGCCGGGGATCGCCCGGGGTACTTTTCGTCCGGGGACCCCCAGGGGCCGCCCCGCGCGCGCGAAGTAGAAGTATTATTTAGCAGTTATCGGAGATCTTAGCACGCCTCTGGCCCGTTGGGCCGGCGAATTCTTCAGGAATGAGAGTTTGAAGGAGGTCCCAGGCGGGAGCGCCGTTATGAGAGTTCAACGTAGCTCAGTTGTGCGGGAGGTCCCAGGCGGGAGCGCCGATCCTTGAGTAAATTGTGCGGAAGTCTCAGGCGGGAGCGGGGGTCCTGAGTAAATTGCGAGGAAGCCTAAGGCGGGAGCGCCGATCCTGAGTAAATTGCGAGGAAGTCTCAGGCGGGAGCGGGGGTCATGAGTAAATTGTGAGGAAGTCTAAGGCGGGAGCCGTTGTTGTTGTAGCCCAAGGGGGCAGCAACGCAGTGTGAGGATCAAGACTTTCCCTTTCAAAAAACAGGGTGCGAGCGTCGAGGGGCGCATTTTGACTGAGAAAAACAGTGTGCACCGGTGGGGGGGGGATCAACAGTAATTATTTTTCAGAAATGAGAGTTCAACAGCAACAACAACAGCAACAGCAGCAGCAACAGCAACAGCAACAGCAACAATAATAATTTTCAGAACGTTCGCCCTTACATGCTCGAGTGTCCAATAACGCGTATGTCCCAAACCCTCGATACCCGCCTTTTTCGTCTTCGATCGAACCCCTTTTGGGGGGTAGACCTCTCTTCCGTGCAGGCCGGGCCCCAAGCGGCGGGGCGGCCGCGGACCGTCGGCCTGGCCAGCGGCAGCGCTGATCGGCGGGGCGGCCGCGGACGGTCGACCCGACCCCAAGAGGGACGGACAGGGGACCGACCACGACGACGACGACGACGACGACGACGACGACGACGACGACGACGACGACGACGTCGAAGACACGGCGTCGACGACGACGACGACGATGACGACGAGCGAAAGCAAGAGCGAGAGAGAACGACAGCAGGGCCACGAAGGGCACGAAGTAGGCCACCAAGGGCGACAGCGGGGACACGAAGGGAATGCGTATGGGGCCACGAAGAACGTGAACGAGCGGGGGCCACGAAGGGCAGATAATGCGGGGCCACAGAAGGCAACTATGGGGCCACTGAGGGTAGAAACTGGGCCACATAGGACAGTGAGGGGGACACAAATGGCGACAGCGGGGCCACGAAGGGCATGCACATGGGGCCACAACGGGCGCGACTCCTGGGTGCCTGGGTGTCGGGAGCGCGGCGCTTGGGCAAATTGCAAGAAATCCCCACGCAAGGCCATTCGTCAGTAAGTTGCAAGCAAGTCTCCAGCGAGAGCGCGACTCCAGAGCGCCGGGAGAGCGAATTCTGAATACATCGTAAGGAAGTCCCAAGCGAGAGCGCGACTCCTGAATAAAATGCGAGGAAGTCTCGGGCGGGAGCGGGAGTCCTGGCTAAATTGTAAGGAAGTCTCAGGCGGGAGCCGTTGTTGTTGTAACCCGGGGGCCAGGGGCCCAGCTTGAGCAGGAAGATTTTCCTGTCAAGAAACAGGGTGCGAGCGTCGAGGGGCACCCTTTGATTGAGAAAAAACAGTATGCACCGGTGGGAGGGATCAACAATAATGATTCTTCAGAACTGAGAATTCAACAATAACAACAACAACAACAACAACAACAACAACAACAACAACAACAACAACAACAACAACCAACAACAACAACAACAACAACAGCAGCAGCAACAGCAACAGCAACAGCAACAGCAACAGCAACAGCAACAGCAACAGCAACCACAACAACAGCAACAGCGACAACAAGAACAACAACAACGATCATTATAAGACTGTTCGCTCTTACTTGCCCGCGTGTCATTCAAAACGCGTTCCCCACACCCTCGATACACGCCTTTTTTGTCTTCGATCACACCCCCTTTGGTGGGATTCTTTCTCTTCGCGGGGGGCGGCGGGCCTAGACAGGCGGGCAAATCTGAACTGGCGGACAATCCTTCGTGGGCGTATATGCGCCCGCCATTGGAATTGGTGTGGGCCCTGCAAATGGAGGAGGGGGAGAACGAGGGAGGGAGAGTGGGAGGAAGGGAGGGGGAGGGACGAAGGAAGAGGGAAAACGCCAAGAGAGAAGGAGCGAAGAGGGGGGCGGTGGGTTAGAGGCAGATGAATATACAGAGAGAGAGAGAGAGAGGAGAAAAAAAATGACACAAGAGAGGTAGAGAACGAGAGAGAGAGAGAGGGGGGAGAGAGAAAGAGAGCGAACACAAATTAAGGATATAAAGAAAGAGGGCGTGAGGAGACAGGAGAGGGGAGGAATAAGGGAGGAGGGAGAGGAGGGACAGGGGATAAAACAGAGAGGCATAATGATGAGGGAAGAGAGGAGGGAGAGAGAAGGGAGGAGAGGAGGGAGGAGCGAGGAGGGAGAGGGAGGTGGAGCAGGAAGGTAAGAGCGTGAACGCTCGATGAAGTCCTAGGCGAAAGCGCCGTTCCTGAAGGAAGTCTCGGGCGGAAGCCCACGACGGGCGGGCGATCCCCTGACGGGCGGGTCGGGCGGGTGGGACATTCAAGCGGAATGCTAGAGTATGGCGAGAGCGCGGCTCCTAAGTAAATTGTGACGGCGTCATTGGCGCAACGTGTTTCCTGAGCGTCAGCGCGGTTTCTGAATAAATCGCATGGAAGTCACAGGCGAGAACACAATTCCTGAAACAAATGTGACGGGTTTTTTGGCGGGAGCGGGGGTCTTGATTAAATTGCGAGGAGGACTTGGTTCAATTGCGAGGAAGTCTCAAGCGGGAGCGCCGTTCCTGAGTAACTTGTGAGGGAGTCTCTGATGGGAGCGGGGGTCCTGACTAAATTGTGAGGAAGTCAAAAGCGGGAACACCGATCCTGAGTGAATTGTTAGGAAGTCTCAGGCAGGAGCGGGGGTCCTGAGTAAATCTGGAGAAAGTCTTTAGCGGGAGCCGTTGTTGTTGTAATTCAGGGGGGCAGGGGCACAGTTTGACCAGGAGGATGTCACCTGTCAAAAACAAAGTGCGAGCGTCGAGGGGCACACTTTGATTGAGAAAAGACAACATGCACTGGTGAGGGGGGACCAGCAATAATTATTCTTCAGAAATGAGAGTTCAACAACAACAGCAACGCAACAAGCCGAATTCTCATCACGAATGCCTTATTCAGCCACGCACCCAGGGACAATGAATGACCGTTCGGCCCCCTCACTCTGATATATGTACCTATACACAACATGTACGCTCGCCTCGCATCCTGAGGTCGACTGTAGGTCGAAAGTATTGGAACAACAATGGTGTTCAACAGTTTTGTTAAAAACATAGCGTTTCGCTCGAGACATCCTCCAACCATGTTTGAACTCGCGCGGAAAGTGAACCCCACCTGATATCTTTTGTGGGCGTTCGGGCTAAGAGCGACGTCTAAACTCGCGCGGGTAGTGAACTCTACCTGGTATCTCTTGTGGACGTTGCGCGGATGGTAAATTCCATGTGGTATTTGTTGTGGACGTTCGGGTGAGCGGCACGTCGGAATTTGCGCGGCTCGTGAACTCCATCTGGCTCTTTTTGCGGACGTTCGGGGTCAGCGGTACGTCTGAATTTGCGCGGATAGCGAAGTCCACCTGGTACTCCTTGTGGACGTTCGGGAAGAGCGCCTACGCGACATGCGAACTTGATGTTGTCATGTTCTCGCCGAGCTCTTTGATTTCACGCGCTTCCCGTTCATGTCAAGAAAGGTTTCGATATTTCGATGGTTTCCGATTGCGATCCCGATTCGATCCAACTTCGGGATTCCGATTTGGGCCCCGATTTTTCTCAACGGAGGCCCATTGGCCTGTCGATTGTTCCGCCGATGCGACCTCTCCCGACTCGATTGCCGATTTCCGCCGATCCGTTTCATTTCGATCGCCGATCCGACTTATGGATTCGATTCTCTACGCCTGCGAACATATCCGTGTCCGCGGCCTCGCGGGAGGGGCCCCTGGGCCGCGACCCCTTGGACACGGAGTGTTTCTTTCCCGGATGCCCCGCGCGGAACGTATCCGCGCGACCGCGTATCCTCGGGATCGCGCCCCCGAATCCAGGGATCCGCGGATACGGATATGCTCGCCGCTCGTGAGTTTACCCGCGACGGGGTTGGTTCGCATGTGCCAGAAGCGGCGGCGAAACCCAGGCGCTGACCAAGAGACGCACGGCACCATCGGGCGGTGGGTAATGGGGGGTGACGTACGTGGGGGGAGAAGGGCCCTAAAGGATCCCTTTGAGGCCCCTTGGGAGCGTAGGGCGCAGGATCGTGGCAGCCCGGATGCCGTGCAGACTTCGAGCGACTGCAGAACACCTGAGTGCTCCCGTGTGGGCCCCGGCTGGCTCCGAACGGGCCCCTGCAGGGCCCGTTCCTTTACCCCCCCATGCAGGTCCCCCCCCCATTCCCACCCGCCCGGCCAATCGAGGAATCGCGGGTGTGGGCAGGGTTCGGTTGGGTCGCCTGTCCAGTCGGCACATGGGGTGCTTCCGCCGACCTGCCGAATCCTCGGGGTGTCCGTCGCTCTGCTTCGAGGGCGCAGGCAGGCTTTCCCGGTCGCAGGGTGCCAGCGCTGGGCTCTGGAAGCGGCAGGTCAGATTTGTTCTTCGGTGTTAAAACAGCGGCAGTTGCAAGATGGAAAGAGTTAAACGAAACAAAATGTTTTCCGGAAACAGGGGGCAACGGCTCCGGAACCACAACAGGAACCACCAACAGCGACGCAACCGGAGTAAAACCGGCGCTGGAACTGGCAAAACGAATAGGCAAACCGTAAAGTCTGTAAAGTGCGGCTCTTCCGTTTGCAGAGCCCACTAACAACCGTTTGCCCTTTCGAGTCTATGCGCGCGGGGATTGCTGCGAACGCAGCACAGCACCCAGGGCCACCGCCGCGACGACGAGCGACTGTCAGTCCGCGAGCTGAGCCGCTCTTGCACATGCCTGCTCGATCCCAGCACCACGCCGGAGGCGAGCCGAGCTGTCCGACCGCCCGCTCTGCTTTTTCCGGCGACCCGCTCGGCCGTTTACGCCAGTGCTCGTTGTCTCCGCCTCGGTGCTCACAGCCTGGCTTCCTGCTTTTCTCCAGACTGCGGCCGGCGTTTCAAGAAGCAGCGGCCGCCTGCCAGGGAAAGACAAAGAGAAGAGCAAGTACCCCTATGATGTCTGCTGGCAGTGGATAGGACGCGACCGGGGCAGGGCAGGGCACATGAGCGGCGGCCACTCGATGGGTCGAAGCGTTGGTTTACAGTCGGGGCCCTGAAGGAGGAACCCTCCTCCTCCTCTCTTCTCCTCCCTCCTCCTCCTCCTCCTCCTCCCTCCTCCTCCCTCCTCCTCCTCCTCCTCCTCCTCCTCCTTCTCCTCCTCCTCCTCCTCCTCCTCCTCCCTCCTCCCTCCTCCCTCCTCCCTCCTCCTCGTCCTCCTCCTCCTCCTCCTCCTCCTCCGTTGGGGAGGGGCTCGGTGTTCCTTGATGCAGCTTGACTTGGGTTTTCCTTAGGTTTCCAATGGTAAGTCTAAGTTTAAATTATGGGAAAAAGGGGGCCTCGTTCCTTATTTAGGATAGAGCGCGCTCGTGGGGCCCGATAGACTAAAAGGGGGGCCCCAGCTTGAAGCCCTGAAGAAGGAACCCTGTTCGTTGGGGAGGGGCTCGGTGTTCCGTTTTACAGCTTGACTTGGGTTTTCCTTAGGTTTTCAATGGTAAATCGAAGTTCAACTTATGGGAAAAAAGGGGCCTCGTTCCTCATTTCGGGTGCCTTAGGTCAACGCCCCGACTGTATCTTGTTCGGCGAGAGGCCAGTGGAAGCCGGCGGAAGTAAAACAGGGGCGGCTCCACCGGCGGAAGGGGCGGCGGAGGCCGTCGTAAGAAAGAGGTGCAGCCTCGAGAGTTGGCATTTCTTCTCCGTCGCAGGGTTCCCAGAAAGATCCCCAGATCATGGTGTTCTCGAGAAGCTTGTGGGAAACACTGTCAGAGACACGCGGGGCAAGCGAAAGGCAGGTTGGAGGATGTGCGGCAGGAGGAGAGACAGGCCAGGCTGTGTTGATCCTCCTCCTCCTCCCTCCTCTTCCTCCTCCTCCTCCTCCTCCTCCTCCTCCTCCTCCTCGAAGAGGTGATGCGGGGGCGGGGACCGTGCAAACGATGGGCAACGCAGGGCTCAGAACCTGGGGAGAGCACGGGGACCTCGGAAGAGCGCCAGTGCGCTGGGAAGCGCCCGGTGTTTTCAGAGGCTCGGAGGGAGTGCGCCGCTGTCCCGCCCTGGAGGAGGAGGGGAGGGAGGAAGGGAGGGCGGGAGGGAGGGAGGGCGGGAGGGAGGGCGGGAGGGCGGGAGGGCGGAGGGAGGGAGGGAGGGAGGGAGGGAGGGAGGAGGGGAGGGAGGGAGGGAGGAGGAGGAGGAGGAGGAGGAGGAGGAGGAGGAGGAGGCGGAGGAGGAGGAGGAGGAGGGGGAGGAGGAGGAGGGGGAGGAGAAGGAGGAGGAGGAGGAGGAGGAGGAGGAGGAGGAGGAGCGAGCCCCGCCCCGCTCGTCTGGACTCGTGCAGGGAGGCGGCCAGCGCCACGCGCCGAGTGCCTCTCTCGAAGAGCCGGCGGGTCGTGATTCAGGGCGTGGTGTGCGGAGCAAGTCTGGCAGGCAGCCTGGTAAAGAGCCTGATGAGCACATGCAGTCATCCATCGGCGTGAGGCTCGAACCCGCTAAGGAAGCGAGGGTACAGGCAGTGTTACCCAAAGTGCTGCCCGAGCTAACGAAAAACCATTGCTGCGCGTGAGTGTTGCTACATTCCCGTTTGGCAGGCAGCCTGGTAAAGAGGCATGCAGCGCAAGCAGGTCGCGGGCAGGGGGGGGGGCCGGCAGGCTAGAGGGCAGGCATACGTCGGCGGCGAGCGAGGAGGGGAGGTGAGAAGGAGAAGGCCTTCTCAGAGGGCGGCGGGACTTCTCAGAAGCCCTCGCGCCCTCTGAGAATGTTTCTGCGTCCTTCGGGGGAGGCTTAGAGAACTTCTCAGGAGGCCGGGGGACTTCCGAGCCTTCTGATAAGGCCTTTTCTCCTGCTCGCTTCTCCCCCATCGCTCGCCGCCGTCAGTAAAGAGGCATGCAGAGCAGGCAGGTCGCGGGCAGGGAGGAGGATTGGCAGGCTAGAGGGCAAGCATACGGTCAGGAGTTTCTGCTCAGCGTGTCGCGCCGCCGGTTCTGGCCCATCGCGCTTCGGCACGGCACGCCATCCGCTTCCTGGTCCTTAGGCATCCGCGCTCCGAGCCTCTCCCACCCACCCGCCCCGCGGAGCATGTCGCTGGGGCCGCCGCCGCGGCACGCTGTGCAAGAGTGCCCGGCCGTAGGCAGCGCGACATTGTGCCAAGATTTTCTGGAGGGGGAAAAACACACACAGACACAGTTAATCGTCGATTCCCCAGAAAATATGGGAACATATGGGACGTGGGGGGGAAGACGAAAATCTAGAACACATGGGAAAATATAGGGGATCTGGTTGCTTGTGTCTATTTATTTCTGTGTCCCAGTTCCCCTTCAGACTTGTGGCACGTGCCGGCCATCTGGTCACTGCGAGGAGGCCACTGCCGTGACGGAGACAGCTGCAGGTGGAAGCACTACCCCCTCGTCGGCAGCGAGGACGTCGGCAGGGGGGGAGCCTCTGCGGCCTTTCCCGCTCTGTGCCAGCACGTGCCGATTTTCACAAGGGGCCTTGCAAGCACGGCGCGGCCAGTCGAGCTACATTTAAGTCGGGCCCGTCTCTCTACAGGAGGAATATTCAAAACACAAAAAACAAAAAAATAACCTGGGGACTATTTTCTGAGTATTTGTTGGCCATTTTGGAATCTTTTTGGGGTATTTTGATTTTTCGTCGAAAATTCCCCTGTAGGGGGACGCGCCCGACTTAAAGCTACATGAGCAACACGCGGGAGGGATGGACCACGAGACCCGAGCCGCAGACAAAATCGGAGCGGCCAGTTTTGGGGCTATTGTCGGCAGTTTGGGGCCCTCAATGGGCCCTGGGACCGTCGAAGAATTCTATTCGTGATGAAGAAGCTCGGTGTTCAATGGAGCGCCGCATGTCTGGGAAGGTGGGGAGGACGACTACGCAGGTCGAGGCACCACTCGGGCCCATCTGACACGCACAGCAGTTGAGGCAAGTGATCGTTTTCTTGTTCACTGTTTCTCCGATCGGCGCGGGCCCTCGCCCCCCCCCCTCTTCCCCATGGGGTAGATCTTGGCTGCTTTTGGCGCCTCTTTCGAGCAGATGGGGTCTCCCCGATGGAACGCACTGTTGCAGATAGTCGCATTAAGCAGAGGTCCGGAGCCAGACCCCCCCTCCCCCTTCCCTTCCGCCCAATGTCGAAACGCTGAATACGAATACGTTCTTTCATCAGGCAGGTCATACTACACATGCGCTCCTGATCACCTGACCGCATACAGGCTCAGTCTCAAGCTTAACGTCCGCAAGACTAGCGTGAGGACTTGGACGAGTCTGGACTTCACAGGGCATAGCACCCGGGGATTGGCAAAGATCCCCCAACATGGCGCCGACGTACTTGGAGTCTAAATTTCACTGCGCGGTGTTTGGCAACAGACTATGTTCCGCACAGTGTGGTGGCAGATACACCGATATGGGTTCTGAAGGTAAGGCTTGAGTCGGGCGTGTCCCTCCACAGGAGGAAAACTCAAAAACAAAAATCAAAAAATAACATGGGGACGATTCGTGGGCTATTTCGGATTATTTTGGGATATATTAAAAAATCATCCAAAATCCGCCTGCAGGAGGACATGCCCGACCTAAGGCAAGGCTCCGGTGTCAAAAGCTGCCTGGGCAGCGAGACCTACGCTCTGCCGCGTGCCATCGACCACTCCTGAGTCTTGCGCCGGTGCTGCAACTCTGCACAACACTGACGCATATGCCGCCTTCCCGCGGCTTCACAGCAACGCGCCCGATGGACCTTTCAGAATCCTCCACTGCGCCCGGACCGTATGCCGTGGCGTATCGGGCAGCAGCCGACATCACCAACTGAGTGCAGCCATGCCTCATTTTCACAGGCGATTCGCGCTGACAGTGGCAGAATCGTTCAGACCCCCTTTTGGGTAGACATGGCGAAATTCATGGCGCCGTTACTTGCCACCGCATCTACTTCATCAGCCGCAAATCCGCATCCAAATTCTTGACGCTTCGCGCATCCCCACCAGCACTACCTGCAGCTCCTGACGCGTTGCATACGTGCACCCTGGCAGTACTGGTATTCAGCTACAGCCAGCCCCCTCCACTCGCCGGCCCGCCGCTGAGGTGCTGCGTGAGGCTCCGCCCCGCCGCTTTAGGTGAGGCTGCGCCCCGTCGCTTTAGGTTAATTCGTCGTACTGGACCCACCGATGGCGCGCTCGCCTGCGGCCGCTGACTAAAAAGCATCCCCACCAGATTTTTCCGCTTCACGACTTCTTTGACGGCGCGCAGCTGCCTGCGTCGCCCGCGAGCAGACAGTACCCCCACCGGCCTGCCGCACGGCGGGCGCGGGCCGGCCCCTCCAGTCGCCTGCCCGCCCTCCGCTGCCCCCTCGCCGCCCCGGCCCCTCCGCTACCGCGGCCCTCGGCTCGCGGCAGCCTCCCGCGCCCGCCTTGGGACTGCCGCTTCGGTTCATGCCTTGCCGCACGGGCGGCGTTCCCGTCGCTTCCCGGGCGAGGTCCGACGTGCTCCGGCTGGTCGCCTCCATGTTGCGCTTCGGGGCCCCCGCTCGCCGGGGCCGGCCCCAGCCTGGCGGGTGCGCGTCCGCCTGCATTCCCCGCTTCGCGGGCGGGACTTCGACCTCAGTCTCTGGCGGTGTCTGGCGATCTGGACTCTGCTCCGTCGAGCGCCTGCATGTGAGCTGGTTGACGGCTGGAGACGCCTGGAGGGCGCTCGCTATCCATGTGACGGTGTGCCCGTTGGTCCCTGGCGCCTGCTCTTCGTTGTGCGCCTCCTCACTGGCATGCTCTCGGAGTCGTTCAACCTGAACTCCCCCCCGCCACTTTGGCGTTGCAGCCCGCTGGTGGTTCACCCCCCAGACGAAGGCGCACTTCTGAGCGGCAGCGAGGCCCGCCTCCTGTTGTCTCCTCCCCACTGTTCTCGTTTTCTCTCGTTGTCTCTTTTTTTCTTTCTCCCGCTTGAGTATTGCAGGTTGTAGCTAGTGTGTTACGACTTTCTGACTGCGTTCGACACTTCCGCGACGCTTGCGATCAAAAAAAGTATCCCCACCAGCCTATCCAGAAACGATCAGCAGGGGAGTTGGTGAATCAGGGACGGCTGGAAGCATGCAGTTGCGCGGCCGTCTTCAGGACAAAAAGCACGGATCGCAAATAGCTTCCCGCATTGAAGTTCAAGATGGGAAACGGTGCGAGATACGACATGTTGCTCCCCTTTTGTAAACATCTCTAGCGCAGGTGGCTGTATCCACCCTGACCCACGGGAAACAAGGATCACACATAGCTTCCCGCAGCGAAGCTTAATATGGAAACGGGTGCACGATACGTCGGGGTGTTCTTCGTGGTAAGCGCCTTTGGCGCAGGTGACTGTATATATGATTCGTCGCCCTTGTCGCACAGTTGAGAGTCGCATCCCCATATGCATCCTTGATCTCTGCCCTCGCACTGAAATTTATCATAAACTCGCGTGCGGCTGCTGGTGCTGGTGGTGGTGGTGGTGGTGGTGGTGATGCTTCTGGTGTTGTTGCTTGCGGTGCTCTGTTGCCCTCTTGGAGCCATCTTGGAGCAAGTGGTGATGCTGGTGCTGGTGATGCCTACGGCCATATAGATGGTATGCGGATGAGGAGGACGAGGGAGAGGAGGATGATGAGGAGGAGGAGGAGGATGGGGGAGGAGGAGGAGGAGGACGAGGAGGAGGAGGAGGAGGAGAAGGAGTAGGAGGAACATATGAACAAATAACACGACTACTATTACTACTAATAATAATAATGATATTGATATTGATATTGGTAATAATAATAATACTAATAATAATAATAATGGTACTAATAACACTAAGACTACCACTATTCATGATATTAATAATGATATGAATTCTATGAATGATAATAATAATACTAATAATAATACTAATAATAACAATAATAATAATAATAACAATAATAATCATAAGCAGAAAAGGAGGAGGAGACGGAGGAGGAGGAGCAAGAGGAACGCGGCGCGAGGAGGATGAAGAGGAGCAGGGAGGCGGCTGGACAAAAAACAAGGGAGGAACCGACGATGACAAGGAGGTTGAGACGTCGGGCTTTGGGCATCTGTCGTTGTGAGGGTTTTTTCGAAGGCTCGTAATGCCATTTTGGCGCCATTTTGGGGTCCTCTTGGGGTCATCTGGGGGCCTTCTTGGGACCTCCTTGGGGCTTTTTTGAGGGGTCTTGGAGCCCTTTTGGGGCTCTTTGGCGGGGTCTGGGAGGCCTCTTGGGGCCGTCTTGGACCTCTTCGCTCAAGAAGAGGGGGGTCTTAAGTTTAGCCCCCCCCTTGGAAGGCCCAAAAGGGGCGTCTTGGGGCCCTCTTGGGCCGCTCTTGGGGCGCTCTTTGGCGCTTTGGGGGCCGTCTTGGGGCCCTCTTGGGCCTTTCTTGGGTCTATGTTGGGCCATCTTTTGGCCATCTTGACGCCTCAAGAGCCCATCGGACGCGAAAAAGCGAGAAGGCAAAACACGCTGATTTTCCTCAGGTGTTGAACCCATGTTGGCCTCTTGGGGGGGTCCTTGGAGGGCTCGGACAGCACTTGAAACCGTTTTGGGGCCGTCTTGGGGCCTCCTGGAGGCGTGTCGGAGACTATCTTGAGCCATCTCAAAGTATCTTGGGACATCTTGGAGGTCATCTTGGGCTATCTAAAAACCTCTTGGAGCTATCTTGTGCCACCTTGGACGCTCTAACCCCTCGCCCCCTCCCCGTTCAGACCCAGGGAGGGGGGGGGTAGGTAAACCTCCCGAGCAGGCAAAGGAAGGAGGTTCGAAACGGAAACGCTCTAGACCACCTGTGCCCAGGGGGCTGGTGGGATTACACGTTCTCATGTGTTCGTGGAATGCAAAGCATCAGGAGATTGCATAATACGCGTAGGTGCTCACTGCAGTGCTTCTGCATCTGCCTGCGGGGAAACAAACTGCCTCGACGCCCGCGGCGTTTTCAGCCCCATCCTGGCCCCCTCGTTTGGTCCAGACCGACGCGTTCCACCCAAAAAGCGGACCGTTGCATCCCCGAGACTATGAAGAGACCCGCGATGACAATCTACAAATTGTTCACCCTCGCGAGGGCTCCTTTCCCTCGCAGACGCACGCTGGGGCTGCCCTTCATTCCTGCAAGCCGCAGAGAGTTTGTTTACGCTCCATCTTCTCTGGTGTGCCCGGGAGCTCTGAGCGACACGCTGACAGAACGACCGCCACGGCATGTCTGAGACGGGGACTGCTGCAATCGGCCCAGCCTGGCTCAACACCTGCCTCACTGGCGGCGAACCCGGCTGGATGCTTGCCTCGAGGCCCGCCCTGACTTCGCCCACACAGAGACAAGGGCTCCCTCGAGGGCGCGAAGTTATTCGCGCTTCGCGCTTCGCGGTCCTCGATCCTTCTCCCCCTCCTCCTCGTCCTCCTATTCTCCCTTTGGGAGGGCGGCGCGAGAGCGCGAAGTTATTCGCGCTTCGCGCAGCGCGAAGCGCGAAGTTGGGAGCCCTAAACACAGAGACCCCCTCAGGGTGTGGGCCCCTCCCCTTTGGGGGCAGTGCGGCACCTCCGAGGGTCGGCCCGTGCCCCGCCCCGGCCGACGCGCGCCGCAGCACCGGAGCCCCCCCCCTGCCCTCTCGGGGGCAACGATTGGCGGGGGGGGAAATCTCGGCACAGGGGGGGACGCCTCGCCCCCCAATCGACCCCCAAGCGCCCAATCGACCCCCCAATCGCCCACAGAAGCAGTCCCAGGGACTCCTCGACCCCCAATCGCCCATTCAGCGCCGATAGGGGCCTGATAGCCCCCCCCCCCCCCACCCAGGAAAGTGCGGATGTGCTCTCAGTGGCCCATCGCCGATCTATCGGAAAGCTATCGCCGATTCCAGCTCGATGTCCCCCCCCCCCCTGAGGCGGCCCCCTGCTAACGTTTTCCCTCAGAGGAGTGAGGATGATGCGGCGTCGGATGGAGAGCAGTGTGTCCACGACGGTCACGATGTAGCGATAGGGGCGCAGCCATAGCCAGATCAGCCCAGAGCGTCGTCCTTGGAGGAGACCTGCGGGGGAGCTGTAACACCCACAGGTGCTGGCGCGAAGGGGGCAGGCAGCCCACGACGAAACGGGTCTGAAGGACCGGCCATAAGGGTCCACAGATCACTCCAGGGCAATTTCTTCTCCTCCTCCTCCTCCTGCTCCTCCTCTTCCTCCTCCTCCTCCAAATTCAGGGGCGTCCGAGGCAGTGGGGCCTGCAGAGTCCCACGAGAACTGCCTCGACGCTCCCCAGGGGGATGGCGGCCATCGAACGCCATCCAGCACGCGTGCACGGGTGCTGTGGGTCTGGACCGGGCCCTCGCGACGGGGGCCACCTCTGCCCAAGAGAGCTGCATCGCAGGTACCAGTCCCCTCCTCCTCCTCCTCCTCCTCCTCCTCCTCCTCCTCCTTCTCCTCGTTCTCCTCCTCCTCCTCCTCCTTCTCCTCCTCCTCCCCCTCCTCCTCCTCCTCCTCTTCCCCCTCCTCCTCCTCCTCCTCCTCCTCTCCTCCTCCTCCTCCTCCTCCTCCTCCTCCTCCTCCTCCTCCTCCTCCTCCTCCTCCTCCTCCTCCTCCTCCTCCCTCTCACCTGCCCCCTTCTCCTTCCCTCCTGTCCTCGATTCCAGGTCGATGTCTCCCCCCTCCCCGTGCCAGCCACCCCCCCCCGTGGCGCCCGCGCCAGCGGCGGCAGCGGCGGTCGCCGTCGTCGTTGCCGTCGTCGCCGCCGCCGCCGTCGCCGTCGCCGTCGCCGTCGTCGTCGTCGTCGTCGTCGTCGCCGTCGTGGCGCCTCGCCCCCCCGTGGCGGCCAGGAGCCCGCCGCACCGCAGCCCCGGCCGCCCGCCACGCCGCCTCCTGGGCGGCCGCAGGCGCACGGCCGCCGCCACCCAGGGAGCGCAGGAGGGGAAAAAGCCCACAGACAACGAATCGTCGATGCCCCAGAAAATATGGGAAAACATGGGAAGTGGGGGGGGAGGCAAAAACCCAGAAAGTATTGGAAAACATGGGTGACCCTGTCATTTGTGTCTATTCACTTGTGTGTCCCAGGGCCCCTTCAACCAAGGGAGTGAGGGGGGCCAGGACCAGGAGGAGGCCAGGGGTCGACGACGCGTACCAAGCAGTGGCGAAGCGTCCTGGCTCGCCTGTAGGCCCATTAACGAATGCTTTGAACACCTTTTGTGATCTGCACGAAATTGTCTTAGAACATGTCTGGCTGAGACTGTCCTGTTTTCACACACATCGGGTTTATGCTCTTAGAACTTTGCTTTTGTTTTTGGAACAGTTCTGGCTTCTAAGAACATGTAGCTGTAGGCCTATGGGAATGCGGGTTAGTCGGTCCCTGCTCAAGCGTAAGGGTAACCCTTCGCTGGAGTGACCTTTGGTGCGGGCGCCCCTTGGTCTCCCCGACCGCTGAGGGCGATGCGATGTCGGCTGCTTGCGCGCCTGGATTTGGCCACCTTTCGCACCTTGAGACCGCCCGCGACAGGCCACTCTTGCCTAGGGTCACTCTTACACGTGGCCTTGGCATCGCTCGGACGTGTGCATTTTTCCTTCGGCGAGGACCATCGAGGAGCATCCTTGATCATTTGGCGCAAACGCCACACACGAAACCGACAAAAAGCACAGGGAATGGACGTCCGAGCGATGGCCAGTACCCGTGGCCGAGGGGAGGAGGGAGGCCAGGAGGCCAGAGAGGAGGCCAGGGGGCCAGGACCGGGAGGCCAGGTAGGGGGCCAGGACATCAGGGGCTAACGATAGGGGGGTATAGGCATAGGGGGGGATACATCGACCCCGAATCGCCCACTGAGCGCCGATAGGGGCCCGAAAGCCCCAGCCTGCACAGGAAGGTGCGGATTCACTATCGGGGGCCCATCGCCGATCTATCGAGGCGATGTATCGTCGATGCCAGCCAGGTCGATGCATCATCCCCCCTATGCCAGTCCCCCCCCTATCGTTGCCCCTCACAGGACCAGGAGGCCGGGAGGCCAGGACGGGAGGTTTCTCCTAGTCGTCGGCCAGCCCGCCGCGCCGCCCCCCGGGCGGCCGCAGTCGCGCGGCTGGCGCCAGCAAGGGAGGGAAGGGGTCGAAGGACGCGCGAGGGTCAGGAAGCATGTCTTGATTGGGCTGGGGGGATGGGGCTGGGAGCAAGGAGGACACAGTGGAGGCCCATGCCTAGGAACGCCCTGCTCGCCTCCAGGGTGCCCTGGGTTTCTTGGGGTTCGATGGTTCTGCCATGGGAAGCGTGACGTTCCCACACCGAAAATGCATGGACGTCCTGGGGTCTCTGAGTTGGCTTTCTTGTGGAAGGTGTCTGATGGACTGGCCTCCAATGTATTACTACCCGTAGGCGGTCGAAGATATCGCGCATTGCATCCGGATGCCATTGCTCATGCCCTTCATCCTCCCAATCCCTGCCTCCCAGCACGATAACTGTTCTCCGCAAGCGGGGGGGTGACGACGAGAGCATGTCTTTGTGAAGGTTCTGGGCGATCACGGCATCACGCAGCGCTGCGTTGCCTACAGGTGCAGAGATCTCCTACAGATACTTCGAGGATTCCCTGAAATTTCCAGCGGCTCCCCGCCGTGATGTGATCGGGGGGGCGAACTCCTCCCCCCGAATGAAAAGTGAGCCCGGCGCGACCCCAATGAGGGGAACGTGTCCTGTTGCGTGGGCGCAGTGCTTGGCATCGCTTGGCATTGCTTGGCATTGCTTGGCATTGCTTGGCATGAGGCAGGAGGAGGAGGAGGAGGAGGAGGAGGAGGAGGAGGAGGAGGAGGAGGAGGAGGGGAGGAGGAGGAAGAGGAGGAGGAGGAGGAGGGAGGAGGAGAGAGAGGAGAGGGAGGAGGGAGGAGGGAAGGGAGGAGGAGGGAGGAGGGAGGGAGGGAGGAGGGAGGAGGGAGGAGGGAGGAGGGGGGAGGCCGGGCAACCTGAGGAGCCTCCGAGCAACGGGCAACGGAGCATTTAGTAGGCATCGAGTCAGAGCCCCTTAGGCAAGCCGACTTGTGGGACGAAAGGGAGGGGGGCAGCGGGGGCTGCAGAAGGGAGCCTGTAGGGCCCCTGAAAGGGGCCTTTTAGGCCCCAGAAGACGCCCTTCAGGGTTCCCAGAGTGCACCTTTCTCCCCCCCCCCACCCATGCATCGCCCCCCATAGAGCGTTGCCCAAGGGGCGCGATCGGACCTGACTCGTTGTGAAAAGTCAGGACGGGAGGTTTGTCCTAGTTTCGGCCCGTGGGGGCCCTCGATCGGACCCGTCCCACGCCTCCGTCGCAATCCTCACTTCCTCCTCCTTCCTCGTCTTCATCACCTCTCCCTCCTTCCTCCTCCTGCGCCTCTTCGTCCTCCCTACACCCGAGATCCGACGTGCGGGCACAAAAGTGCCACATCCCGAAACCTCACGATGGGAGGCCCAAGCCCCCACCTTCTCCGCGGCACTGTCCCACCCCTCCGTCGCAACCCTCCTCTCCTCCCTCTCAGTCCTCCTCTTCATCACCTCTTCCTCTTCCCTCCTCTTCCTCCTCCTCCTCCTTCTCCTCCTGCGCCTCTTCATCCTCCCTCCCTGAGATCCGACGTGCGAACACAAAAGTGCAGCCGCGCGAAACGTCACCTCAGCAGCCTTGGGACGCCACCTTTCGGTGGCACGTCCCGCGCCGGATCGATCCGCGATGGCCCCCGGGCCCGTTTGTGACTAGGCGCAGACGCCCGGTGTGAATCGTGCGGGCGGCACCAGGGCCCTCCTCCTCTTCCTCCTCCTCCTACTCCTCCTCCTCCCTCCTCCTTCTCCTCCTCCTCCTCCTCATCCTCCTCGTCCTGCTCCTCCCCCCCGTCCTCCTCCTCCTCCTCGGGGGGGGGGGGCAACCAACTTTGGCGGGAACGCGCAGTTTGGGGGGAAGGGGGAGGGGGTAAAGCTTATTGGAGGGTGGCCGGTTCTCAGAAGGCGCAGGCCTGGCGCCTGCCTTCTCTGGAGCTACCTCCTTACAAGAAGCCTTCCCCCCCGGGAGGGGGACGATCGGAATGGGTACGGGGAAAACGGGAACCCAAGGACTTCCTCTCTTTCCTCCTCCTCCTCCTCCTCATCCTCATCCTTCTATTCCTCCTCCTCCCCCTCCTCCATTCCTTTTCCTTATAGATAACTTCTCCCTGTCGCACTCCGAGGCCAGTTTTTAGGGCGGACCAGGCGTTTCGCTTTTGACTTCCTCACCATTTACGAGTCCGAAGCTTAAAACGTGGCAACAGTTTCACAGATGGAGGGCGGGTCGCTTTCAAAACGTGGCGCTCGCCTTAGCGCCGTGCACATTCGTTTTCAACATATGCAAGCGCTTCACGGATTGAGGGCTGGTCGTTTTCGAAATATGGCTCTCGCCTTGGCGCCGCGCACATTCGTTTTAAGAATTTACAAGAGCTTCAAGGACTGAGGGCGGGTGGCTTTCAAAATGTGGCTCTCGCCTTAGCGCCGCGCACATTCATTTTCAATATTTGCAAGAGTTTCGCGGATTGAGGGCGGGCCGTTTTCGAAATGTGGCTCTCGCTTCAGCGCCGCGCACTTTCGCTTGAACAAATTGCAAGAGCTTCACAGATTGATGGCGGTTCCTTTTCAAAATGTGGCTATCGCCTTAGCGCCGCGCACATTCGTTTTAACAATTTGCAATAGTTTCACGGGTCACATGATCAACGAACCAGAAATGGTTTCGTTCGGAAGGATTTAGCATTATACGGGCGCAGCAGTTATCTTGATTCGCGGTGTTGAAGTCCCACAAATGGCGTTCTGGCACGGTTCCGGATCGTCAAGACGCAGCAGTCAGGTTTATACGTGGCGTTGGAATCCCGAGGGCGATGTTTTGGCTCGCTTCCGGATCTTCAAACGGTTGTCTTCCAACGAGGCAGTTCCCTCAATGGAAATGAACCGTTGCAGGGGCCTGCCAAGAGGGAGCTTGGCGAGAGGATTCATTCCAACATCGTCGATGACTCTTGGGTCTACACTGGTCCTACTCCTCCTCTTCCTCCTCCTCCTCCTCCTCCTCCTCCTCCTCCTCCCCCTCTTCTTGAACTGTTTGACACCTCGCTTATCGTCCCTCGCTGCAGGCGCGGGGAGGTACGAGGAAGACAGGAGGGCGCATCTGTCGGAAGCGGCTCAGGCCACGAGCGGTCATCCAGGACTGGGCCGTGGCCAGCCTGCAAGGTTCCCCAAATCCCCTTCGCCTGCCACGAGCAGGTGGGGGCTAGGGAGGGAGGTTTCTTAGAAGGAGGTTGTTTTTCAGAAGGCGCGGGCCTTGTCCATAGGTGTAAGGGCTGGCGCCTGTATGAAGCCGCGTCTTTCTACGAAACCTTATCCTCTAACCTGCCCCTCTGTGCGTGCCGCCATCCTCGGGCGTCTTGTGTGTTCGCTGCTGCCCTGAAGCCGAGGTGTGAGGAATTCGGTGTTCTTGAAGAGTCTGCCCCGGGCCTGGTTGCGTCTCCGCGCACGTTCAGCATATCCCCAGAACTTTCTATGTGTCTCGCATCGCATGTTCTCAGACAGCCAGATTCTCGAGGCCGCGGCCTCACCCACATGGTCTGAGCTGGGCCTGGGCACTGTCTGCAACGGCGGTCGCATCGCATCGTCGCATCGCATCGCATCGCAGGGGAAAAGCGGATACACAGACTGGCATGAACAGGATTCGTTGTGGGTGTCGCGCGGACGTTGCCCATTTGAGACAGGAAACATCCTGCACACCCGCGGCCGCTGTCTGTTTTGTACAGCATTTCTTGTTGGGCATCGTGCTATGTTTTCCGTCGGGCGTCCAGCAATGGGGGCTGACTTTCGCGGCCGCATTCGCGACGCACGGAAAGGGGTTTCAGGTCACACGGGAGGGCGGAGCGTGCTGCGCAGTTGTTGATGGCTCCTGGGAGCAGCGCTGGGACTCAGCCCTTCCTCGAACCGCGTGCTCCCGAGGGTCTGGTATCCCACGACCTGTTCTTCGGCTCGAAGCGGTTTCGCATCCTGGGTCGTGTTTTGTGTTGTTTGGGAAGTTCGGCATTGGAACATTGTTCCGCGGAGTGCAGTACAGTGCGGGAGCGAGTTATCCCGAGCGCAATCGCACTGCAGGCCATGGCCATGGCCGCCACTAGCCCGCGGGTGGTGCACGGCTTCTGCCCCGCGGGACCGCGCCCTGCGGAGCCGAGCCTGCACGCCAGCGCTGAGCCGACGTCGGCGGCAGTGCGAACGGTCGCACGAGGTTCGGGGACTCTGAGGCCGCTCGTTCTCGGAGGGGCCAGCACATGTCGATCCAGCGCGTGCTGTGCCGCAGAAGAGATAGGGTCTGGTGTGATGTTCATCGGTTTGCGGCTTTCCGGGAGGGACCCCGATCTGTTACGATTCGATACTTTCACCTGGCGCTCTTTCCCTGACTTCGGCCCTCTGTGGGCCATTTTCGGGCCCCAGGGCCCCCCATTGACAAATCCAGGGCGAGCTTTCAACTGTGGGGAAGCGGTCGAGGCCTCTTGGGCAGGGAGTCAGGGGGCCGGCTGGAGGTCAGGGGCAACGCCATGGGGGGACATGGATCCGTGGGGGGGGGGGGGGAACGCCCATGGATCGCCGATCGGGCCCGGACGGCCCACCCCGCCCAGGTGCGTGCGGTGTTGCCATCGGGGTCCCATCGCCGATCTATCGGCAAGGCGTCGCCGATTCCAGCTCGATGTCCCCCCCCCTGAGCTGGTGGCCTCCTCACGCTTCACTCCACGGGGGGCGAGGAGGATGCGGAGTCGGCTGGAAAGGAGCGCGTCCACGCAGCTCACGAGATGCGCCGCAGATGCGGCGCGATTGCGGCGCGATCCGCATAGACATCCGTGCGCACGCGCGCTTGTCCAGCCGCGCAGCGAGGCGCCGTCATTTGCGCGGATCGAGACCGCGGCGCCCCCCCCTCTCCTTCTCCTCCTCCTCCTCCTCCTCCTCCTCCTCCTCCTCCTCCTCCTCCTCCTCCTCCTCCTCCTCCTCCTCCTCCTCCTCCTCCTCCCCCCTCCGTAGTCATTTTGGCTCAAGCCATTTTGGCTCAAGGAGGGGCGTGCGGCAGCACGATTCAAACTGGCGCAGCTGCCGCGAGCCATGGCTTTGGCCTGATCCCCACGAGCCTGCGGTTCCTGATAGCGGAGAACTTCTTCGGCTCGGATTTCGGGGCGAGGTTCGGCGACTTCTTGGAGGACGCGCGGGTGGATGATGCCGAGGTCGTCGCCTGCCATTCGGGTTCAGTCGGAGGAGGCGGGCATGCAGCCCAGCCAGACCCAGCGGAGCACGCAGGAAAAGGCGCCTGCGGACCGCTTGCGATCGCTGCCGAGAAGAGTCAAGGTGGGGGGTCAGTGGCTGCCGAAGCCCCGCCGCCGGTGAAGATCAGGATCCTGTGGCGCCAGGTGGAGCCGTCCGCGCCTGCTGCGGGCAAGGTGAAGAGCGCCAAGGTGTTCAAGAAGAAGGCGAAGAAGAAGGAGCATAAGGACCCGTCGGTTCGGAGCCCTTTCGCGAATCTCAAGGGTCACATCGACGGGTCCCAGGAGTGGAAGCTAAAGGATTGCCAAATACAGAAGTGGAATTGCGAGGACTGCGCCAAGAGGTTGAACAAGAAGGTGGTGCTCTTTGGCTTCAGGGTGCAATACCCCTTCTGCCGCAGGCTGCCGCCGCCCCCCATCAGGGAGAAGCAGGTGGCGGCCATCCGCGCGACCAACAGGGAGGAGCTCGAGCGCCAGAGGGCTCCCAAGAAGCAGCTGGCGTCGGCCATTGCTGCGAGTTCTTCGACCTGTCCAAGGGTGACGGCGCAGGGGGCTCGAAAGAAGAACGCGTTCCTCAAGAAGACCAAGCAGAAACGCAAGCACAGCCAGGTGAAGCAGGCCACGGGGGGTGCAGCCCAGCGCGCCGCAAACGGAGGGGGCGCTGGTGAAGGAGACGGAGAAGGACAGGCAGCTGGAGCACATCGACGCGATGGCCAGCAAGCAGCAGACGACCAAGGACAACCTGACGGAGTTGATCGAGTCGCTGCAGCCCGCCCTGCACGCGGGCACGGAGGAGGCGCAAAACAGGGTGAAGGCCCTCATCCAGCAGGCCGAGAAGACCCTGACCGACGCGGAGGAGAGCCTGGTGCGACTCAAGCGCCTGAGGAACCTGGCGGTGGCCAAGTGAACCTCGCGCGTGGATGCACCCAGGCCCTCGCGGGCCAGAGCCTGAGGGACCGTGAGCCAAATCTCACAGAGACAGAGCAGGAACTGCCTGCCGTCCCAGCTTTCCCGCCCCTCCTTGGGGCGGGGGACGACCTGGAATTCTCGTTGGAGGACTTCCTGGAGGGCGAGAAGCTCCAGGACGCGCTCGAAGCGGCCAGCGCGCCTGAGGCCATGCGCACTGCGATGCTGGGCATTAAGTCGTTTGTGTTCAGGCTCTCGCTTGCCCAGGCGCCCCAGTAGTGGGAGCGCCTAGGTTAGCGTGCGTCGCGCCCTGTTTTGCGGGCGCTGGGCGTAGGCCTGGCGCCATTCAGGGGCTGGGCATAGGCTCGGCCCCTCAACCATGGTTGTCAACTGCTGAGCGTTGGCTTGGCGTGGCCAGCGTGCCAGGGGCCTCTAGGAGAGACTCGTATCATCAGAGCCCTCAGAGCCCTCCTCCTCCCCCTCCTCCTCCTCCTCCTCCTCCTCCTCGACGATCCCCAGGGGGATGGCGCCCCCCCAAAAAAAAATCAAGAACACATAAGCAGATCAGCCCAGGGCGTCGTCCAGGGGGGAGACCTGGCGGGCGAGCTGCGAAGCACCCGCGGACGCTGGCGCGGCGAGGCGGGCCGCCCACGACGAGATGGGTCTGCAGGGCGGGCCGCGAAGGTCCACAAGCCGCTCCAGGGCAAACAAACAACACATTCAAATAATAAGACACCTCCCCCCAAAAAAAACAAGAAAAAAACAGTTCCAGGGCAATGCGCGCGCAGTACAGATCAATGCTTCATAGGGGCATCCGAGGGCGGTGGGGCCTGCGGAGCCCCGCGCGACCGGCCCCGGCGCTCCCCGCGGGGGCGACGGGCCTCGAGCGCCACCCAGCACGCGTGCCCGGGTGCCGCGGGTCTGGGGCCGGGCCGCTCGTGGCCGGGGCCACCTCTGCCCCGGGCGATGGGCATGCTCCGTTTCCCTCGGGGGCGGCAAAGAGGGGGGTGATGACAAGGGGGGGGGGGGGGGATATCATCGCGTGGGCCATGATATTTCCCCCGATTTCATGGCGCCTCTTCTTATTTCATTACGTCCCTGGCCCCCCCGCTTGGCCGCGCAGCCGCCCGTCATGGTTTGCCCCCCCCCTCTTGGGCGCCCCCCTCTTGGCCGCTCCCGTCTCCCTTCGTGCGCGTTACTTGTTGGCGCTGCTCCGACACATCGTTTTTTTCGTGCACCGCGGGGCCTCCAAGCGCCCTTCTCTTTTCCCGTCTCCCGCATCCCCTACCCATCCTGTCAGCCATCATCTCCTCCTGCACCTGTTCGTCCTCTTCTCCTCCTTTTCAATCCTCTTCTTCATCACCTCCCCCTCCTGCCTTCCCCTCGTGCTCCCCATCCTGCGCCTCTCCAGCCTCCCCCCCTGAGATCCGACGTTGCGAACAAATTCGGCAGCTTGAGCAATCAAGACCGAGGCTCTAGACCCAATCTTTCTGCTGCGTGTTTCAACCAGATCGTTTTGCAGCATAGCTGGGACTCGAAACGGGCGAACATTGACGGTGCGAAGCCACAAGACAGCTCGCAGCGTGGGCCCCACCGCCAGCCCAAACGGCGAGCATAAATCGGACGTGGCCCCGCACGCATTCGAATGCGCCATAGGTTGCGCCATAGCTTACGCCCTAGACGTCTAAGAATATTACCGTCTCCTACCGGTTGCGCCATAGGTTGCGCCCTCGGCGGCTGAGAATGAAACCGTCTCCTATCTTTTCGCCATACGTTATGCCCTCGGCGGCCGAGAAGAAAACCATCTCCAAGCGGTTGCGCCATAGGTTGCCAAGTTGCGCTTTCGGTGGCCGACAATAAAACAGTCTTGTACCGGTTGCGCCATAAGTTGCGCCCTTGGCAGCTGAGCATAAAACCGTCTCCTACCAGTTGCGCCATAGGTTGCGCCTTCGGTAGCTGAACATAAAACCGTCTCCTATCGGTTACGCCATACGTTGCGCCCTCGGCGGCCGATAATATAACCGTCGCGTAACAGGTGCGACCAGTCAGTTCAGTTCAGTTCAGTTCTTCTCCCTGTGCGAGAAACGAATTCGGGCTACGCCCGAAAACAGTGCAACGCCCAGACTTCAGGTCGCCTCATCCTTCTCCGCCTCCTCCTTCCTTGGTTATCCTCCTTCCCTCCTGCTCCTCCTCCTCCTCCTCCTCGTCCTCCTCCTCCTCCTCATCCTCCTCCCGTGCATCTCCTCTTCCTCCTCCTCCTCCTCCTCCTCCTCCTCCTGCTCCTCCTCCCGTCCATTTCCTTTTCCTCCTCCTCCTCCGCCCTCCTCCTCCTTCCCCTCCCTCCTCCTCCTCCTCCTCCCTCCTCCTCCTTCCCCTCCTCCTCCTCCTCCTCCTCCTCCTCCTCCTCCTCCTCCCTCCTCCTCCTCCTCCTCCTCCTCCTCCTCCTCCCCTCCTCCTCCTCCTCCTCCTCCTCCTCCTCCTCCTCCTCCTCCTCCTCTCCTCCTCCTCCTCCTCCTCCCCCTCCTCCTCCTCCTCCTCCTCCTCCTCCCCCTCCTCCCCCTCCCTGCCAGGGGCAGCCCATGGGCCTGCTGCGGCCCAAGTTCGGCGGGCCCCGGCCGCCCCCGTTCGCGCCTCCTGGCAAGGGCGGGTCGAAGGGCCCAGCCGGTTGCGGCGCCTGGGGGAAGGACCTGCGCCCCCAGGGGGGGGGGTGGTAGGCCGCGGGAGCGTCGGGCTGGGAGAGGAGCAGTCGACTAGACGTATGAGTGGCCTTTCGCCGGCGTGACCTTTGGTGCGGGCACAGATGGGTCCCCAGACGGCTAAAAGCGAGGCAGTAGCAGCGGCTTGCGCGCCCAGGTTTGGTCTCCCCGCGCCCCCCAAAACGCCGCGCACCAACGGTTTTTCATACCCAGGGTCACTCTTGCGTAATGCCGATCGGGGTGCTGAAGAAGGAACCCTATTCGTTCGGGAGGGGTTCGGTGCTCCTTCATTGTTTCGCAGTTTGCCTGAGGTGTTCCTCGACTTTTCGATGGGGAGTCGAAGTTCAACTTGTGGAGAAAAGGGGCCTCGTTCCTTATTCAGGGTTCCTTAGGTCAACGCCTCGACCGTAGCCAGAGATCCGATGCTCCAACAAGCGAGCCCGGCGCGACCCCGATCAGGGGAAAGCCTATTGCATGGGCGCATCACTGGGCGCATCTCGGGCCAGGCGAAAGGGGGGGATTGGGAAAGGGGGGGTTACGAAATTTGCTGCATGCAGCTGGTTTCGGACCCACCGAGGGGCCCGTTCCTCGATACGTGGGCGCCTTCGGCGCCGGGAGGCGCCGGGAAAATCAGCTACGTGAGCTGATTCTCAAACCCCCCCTTTGCTATCCCCCCTTTTCGCCCGACCCGAGCATCGCTTGGCATTGCTTGGCATTGCCTGGCAGTGCTTGGGGCGCACGGGGGCGGTGAATCCGAGCAGTCCAGGGAGCCCGAGGAAGCCGGGGAACCTCCGAGGAACGGGCAATTCCGGTCGGGCGAGGAAAACTCAGAGATCCGATGCTCCAACAAAGTTTGGAGCGGCCGCTTTGGAACCATTTTCGGCTTCGAGGGGGAACAAATAGAGCGCCAGGTATTTGGGGAATTAGCGATACCGCCACCCATCCCCCGTGTTCGCTTTTAGGGGCCCCCGTCGCCACAGCTGGATCCGACGCGAGATTCTGGTCAGAGCGCGTCCCAGGAGAGGTCTTGGGAGTAGCGGTAGCGGTCTCTGAGCTTCCCCCCCAGGGCTGCTCCTCCTCCCTCCTCCCTGCTCCGACAGCCCGTCTTGCCCCTCCCACCGGCGAGGCTGCGTGTCCAGATCCGAATGCTGAAAGGCAGCACTCTCCAGAGAGCCACCGGTCACGGCGCGCCCCTCCCAGGAGACGGACACAATCCCGCCGTGTACGCGGGCGGCTGTTTCTGAGCACTGGTGGGAGGGACGCCCTGATGGGGGCATCCTTGATCATTTGGCGATCATTTGGCGGAAAAACACGGGGAATGGACGTCCGAGCGACGGCCAGCTGGTGCTGCACCGTCGTGGCGGCAAGTGCGCTTCCCTCCTCCTCGCCCTGCGCTCCGTGCCCACCTGCCCGTGCCCGGCGTCCAAAGACCTCCTCCTCACAAAGACCGGAGCGAGCGAGCGCGATCGCCGTCGCGCCCCAGGAGAGGGGGTTCCGGGTTCGGGTCGCGCGGGAGGGCGAAGCCTGCTGCGCCGTTGTTGACGGCCTCTGGGAGGCATCCCAGAAAGGTCGGACGTGACCGGGACGGCTGTCTTCCTTGCTCCTCCCTCCTCCGGCAACTTGTCCTGCTCCCGAGAGCCTTATACAGTCGGGGCCCTGAAGAAGGAACCCTTTTCGTTGGGGAGGGGCTCCGCGTTCCTTAAGTGGTTCGCAGCTTGCCTCAGGTTTTCCTTATGTTTTCGATCGGAAATCGAAGTTTAACTTATGGGAAAAAAGGGGCCTCGTTCCTTATTTTTGGCTCCTTAGGTCAAGGCCCCGATTGTAGCCTGTCCTCCCCCCTTCTCCGCGCTGCCTCGGGGCTGTTTCGGGGCGCGGGGGGCGAGGTCGACCGCGCTCCCTGGAAGTCCTGCAGCCTGGGGCCCATGCGAAGCACCGCTCTCGCGTTCCAGCTACGAGCGTCGAGGGGGAAAGTCGGTGGCGCTGCGTCCGTGGGCGCATTCGGGGCGGATGCCTTCACGGGCAGCTCGGCCGTGGCGCTCGGCGCAGTGCGCGGTCGGAGAACGGGCCGATTCGTCCGCCGCATGTTCCTGCTCCAGAGCAGGCTCCGCACGGCGCCCTAGTTTCGGGGTGGACCGGGGCGGCCGCACCAGGGGGTGGGGAAGGAGCTGGTGCGAATTCTTCTGCGTGCAGCCGGTGATGATGCTGATGATGGTGACGATGATGATGATGATGATGATGATGATGATGATGATGATGATGATGATGATGATGATGCTGATGCTGATGCTGATGCTGATGCTGATGATGATGATGCTGATGCTGATGCTGATGATGATGATGTTGATGATGCTGATCATGATGATGATGCTGACGTTGATGATGCTTATGATGATGCTGATGATGATGATGCTAATGCTGCTGATGCTGCTGCTGATGATGATGATGATGGTGATGATGATACACGAGCTTGACATGGCAGCATCGGGCCAATCATGTGTTCTATGATGCTGCTGTTGTTGTTGCTGTTGATGATGATGATGATGATGGTGGTGATGATGATGATGATGATGATGATGATGATGATGCTGATGCTGATGATGATGATGATGCTGATGATGAGTTTGACCATCGTACAATTATCATGATGACGATGCGTAGGATTACGATGGGTATGAGGATTAGGGTTGGAATGAGGATGAGGGTGAGGATAGGTACGACTATGTTTTCGCGCTTGTGCATGATAGCTGAAGTCGGGGTGTTCTTTCGGAGGAACACAGGCCGGGGTCTTCTTTCGGAGGAAGGATGGGCGACGCCACCATTACGGGTGGGGGGCATTTCGAGCGAGGAGGTCCACGATGCCTCGCAGAGCTGGGGGAAGGGGGTGTCTCGGGGGAGGGGTGGGGCCCGCACGCGAATCGGAGTGCGCACCGAAGGGAAAATCGGGGTGCAGGGCGAGCCGCAGATCGCTTCGCAGAGCTCCAGCGGCGGATCGGAGCGCAAGTGCAGCTGCAGCGGAGCTGCAGACCTCCACCATTACGCAAGGCTCGGAGGCAACGCCAGGGGAGGACGGGCTCAGTGGGGTGCGCCTCCTCCTCCTCCGCCTCCTCCTCCTCCCTCGCCTCCTCTTCCTCCTTCCCCTCCTCCTCCTCCGCCTCTTCCTCCTCCTCCTCCTCCTCCTCCTCCTCCTCCTCGACCCTCTTCCTCTTCCTCCGCTCTTCCCTCCCCCAGCGTCGCCGTCCTCCTCCTCCTCCTCCTCCTCCTCCGCCACGCCGTTTCGTTCGCGGGGTTGCTGGTTGCTATTGCTGCGGGGGCGGGGGGTGGGGGGGTCGACCTGGGGCACCGGGGCCTCGAGCCCGGCCTTCACAAGGGGGGGGAGGGCGGGCAGCCGCTGTCAGGTGGTGCCGGGGCTCTGTTGCCGGCCTTTTCCTTGTTGTTGTCGTCGTCCCACCCGCGACCCACCCGCGACCCACCCCGCGACCCACCCCGCGACACACCCCGCGACCCACCCCGCGACCCACCCGCGACCCACCCCGGGATCACCCCGCGACCCACCCCGCGACCCACCCGCAAGAGATGAAAAACCACCCAGACCCGACAATTGACGTTTATTAAACAGCCCCGGTCGTTGACTAAACAGCCTTGCCCTGTTCGATTCGTTGTTTGTGTGCGCTTACTAAACGACTTCGCTTGTCGGGATGATTATTACGGGGTGGATTTTCTGCCTTTTACACCCGCGACCCACCTTCGACCCACCCGCGACTCACTTGCGACCCACCCGCGACCTACCCACATTGGTTTAACAAAAAATTGGTGTCCGTGGCGGGCTCGTTGTCTAATTTGTAAGACTTTGGCGCTTGCGGCGGGCTTCTCCAGAGTCTCGCAAGCTGCCGGCGTCCCCGCCGCCCCCTCACTCTTATCCGCATCTGTGGGGTGCTACGTACGAATACGTATGTATGTAACTGTATGTAACTGATGAGAAAGAAAGAGAGGTGTCCATTGTGTCCTACTTCGGTGTCTCGCTCACGCTTTCGTCCCCTTCCCTCCGCGCCCTGTCCGCCCGCCCATCCGTCAAACTGCCGGTCTCCCCGCTCGACTTTCAGTCTCTCTCTGCCTCTCCGCCACCTCCCGCCCTTCCCTCAGGACGCGCGGCCGGTGCATCCGCAGCCCGGCCCGCAAGCCTGGGGCGACGACGAGGGGTGCGAAGTAAGCGGCCTGGACAGCCACGAGGCCGAGCCGGACGACGCGGACTTCCTCGGCGTCCAGGCCCGTCCTGGCGTGCGCGCCCTGGGGGCCTGCTCTCGTGGAGGGTTTCTCCGAAGGGCTTAGGCGACCTTCCTCCTCCTCCTCCTCCTCCTCCTCCTCCTCCTCCCTCCCTCCCTCCCTCCCTTCCTCCCTCCCTCCCTCCCTTTTCCTCCATCTCCTCCTCCCCCTCCACCTCCTCCACCTCCTCCTACTCCTCCTCCTCCCCGGGTCGCCTACGGCCCCGAGGGAAACCGTGCATGCTCCCGTAGTGCCTGGGGTGTTGCTGGGAGCGGTCCTGGCCCAAGGATAGGGGCCGCCCAGAGGAGGTCGGAGTAGATGGGGTCGGGGGATCGCGCTTCATCGTCGATGGATCGTCAACATATCGGCAACGCATCGGCGATGTATCGGCGACATCGGCAACGCATCCGCGACAGAGTGTGCTTCCACACACTTGTGCCTCCACATCCACATTACCGACCCAAGCCCACACATTGTGCTTCCACACCCGTGTCGACCCCTGGCGCGGCTTGGAGCGAGTTGCTGCTCAGGGGCGCAGCGCTCGACTTGCGGCGAGAGCTCCCCGCAGGCGCCGATCGGCGCCTGCGACGAATGGCTCGGCGCCGAGCCGCTCGTCGGAGCGTGCCTCTCGCAGACGCAGGCGCGCGTCAGCTGCTGCGCCAGCACATGCAGTCGAGCCTCAGGTCTGGATCAAGGGCATGGCGCATCGCAGTGAGATCGCAGAGCACCTCTGGCGGGTGCAGAGAACAGGCTGCAACATGTGTTCTGGAGCAGCGCTGCTTACGTCCGGACCTTGTCTGATTCGAAGCGCTTGTAACCAGCAGCCCAGGACCCCCCTCGTCGTCGACATCTTCGATCAATGGTTTTCGACGAAAACCGTAGACGATAGGAGCGAGACATTGCTCCGTGGCCGCTGGCTGGTCGTTCTGTTTACACGCGTCCCGCGGGTAGGATGTAGGTATCCGACGCGGCCGCGGAATCGATGACGCTTTCACCCTGCAATAGGCCAACGGGAGATGCAATGTAGGTTCCGGACTTCCAAAAATGGCAGGGCCCCCCTTGCCCCCCCACCCCGTCCTCTCAGGAGGGGAGACCAGCGCTCCCGGCGGCGAAATACGACACTTTCCCCGAAGATTGTTGCATCCCCTCGCTATTACCTGCGTGATGTTGACGCGCTTGCCTCAGGCCATCTGGGGCCGCCCAAGCATGTATTACCCTTCGCCCCGAACAAAGCTTATTGCTCTTGAGTTTCTCGGTGCTCCTGGGCACGCGAGACATCGAGTGAGATTGATTGGCGGGGCGGGAGATTGAGAATGATTTTCTGCAGACCGCACGATGTCTCGTGCAAAATGTGATTGCTTGCTTTGTGTTCCGCCCGATCCCACATCCAGGGGCCTTCGTAGGACGCGTGCGCGCGACTAGCGCGCCAGACTCCCTTGCAGGGACGCTGGCTTCCCGGCGGCAGCTGCTTCGTTCGTTCATTCGATGGTTTTGGTCTTTGGGCCAGCATCCTCGGTCCAGCCGTCGTCGCGCGACAAGGTGCACTCGGCACTCGCCACAGAGAGTCGCGCAGGCCTCGCGCCAGCGGCGGCCAGAGGCCCGACGGCGGCCTCGGCGACTGCGCGCTTCCGGGCGGTGTCTGCGTGCGTTCGATAATGCAGGATGACAAGCGGGCGACGCCTGAAAACTTGGCTCTCTCCACCGACAGTAGCGCGCAAGCTGCCCGCGTAAGTTCGCTGGGCCATCTCGGGTAAGACCCGCTCTTTTTCGTCGCTCAAGTGGGGGGAGCGATGTTACTGAATCGGCTGTAGTCAGATTGGTTGGGGTCCACGCGCTGGCCTCAACGTCTATGATCAGGCATTTTGTTTGCGCGCCCCTTGCCATGAGCCTGTGCAGCAGGTCTTATCCTTCGCACCCCAACGCCCTCCGCATGTCGTTGTACCAAGAGTTGCCGGTCTGCCCCAGCGTTCCGTCTCCCCCGCCTGGTCACGCCCTACCTACATCTCGCCCTGTTCTTCTCTCTCCCTGAGTGTTACCTTCCTCCTGCATCTCCTGGTCACCCGCCCCGAGGCTGACGACGAGCCCACGGAAGCCCACGGCGAGGAGAGCATTGGGGCACCATGGTCAGTCGTGGGATGGGCGCACAAGAGCGGCTAAAGGGAGGCAAGAGCAGGGGGAAGAGGAGGAGGAGGAGGAGAGGTAGAAGGAAAAGTATGAGGAGGAGGAGGAGGAGGAGGAGGAGGAGGAGGAGCAGGAGGAGGAGGAGGAGGGGGAAGCCTGCAGGTGTCAGCTAGCGGCCAGGTCTCGAGGCGGCGCAGCCACGCACCGGGGCGCACCGGCCAGCGGCGGCCCCGCCTTTTCCTCTCGAGAGCAGCGCGCTCCGTCGCCGCTCCCTCTCTCGAGAGCAGTCGGAGGGGGGAGGAGGAGGAGGAGCAGGAGGAGGAGGAGGAGGAGGAGGAGGAGGAGGAGGTGCGACACCAACACCACCAGGGGGGGGGGGCACCTCCAGCGAGGAGGCCCGCGAGGCCTCCACGAGCTGGAGGCTGGGGGTGTCTCGAGCGAGAGGGGGGGCCACACCACCAGGGAGGCCCCCCGTGCCTCCGCGCAGCTCCTCGCCCGGTCGGTGTTGGTGTCGCCTTTCCTTGCTCCTACACAGCGGGCCCCGTCGCCGAGTCGGACGGCGGCACTGGATTCGTGTAAGTGGCGCCCACGCGCCAGAACCACGGATCGTCAAAGGCTCGCCAGAGGTTGCAAGGAGTGATTCTGGACTGAACGCGTGGGGTTTTCGGAGCACGGAGTCGCAGCAAGTGGAGATCGCACAGAGCGGAGGCCTGCTTCTCGTGGCGACGTCTGCTTCATTTTTAGGGGCTTATCTCTTTGCCCACGGTGGACGCGCCATTGATAACCCATTGATGACCTACCACGGTCAGGCTTCATGGAGAATTTGATGCGCCTCTGGGCAGCGGCATCAGTACGCTGTACAACATTGGCTCTGCGCAACTCTGGATGCGCCTCTCGACAACGATCTCTCACTTCGGCCAGTGACTTAACACAGTCCTTCAGGTTTTGTTGTTGCCGCATGGTTGTTGCCGCATTTCACGTTTCGACGGCTCTACTAGCTCAGTTCCACTTTCCATTTTGCGCGCCTAGCGTTCCACCCGCGGGTCCGTAGGAGCCCGATGTCCGCCCAGAGCGGAGCCTCAGCCTGGTCATCGTTGGGAGTGGTAGTCGGCGGTCTGGAGGTGCGCTTTCTGCCTGAAGGGTAAAAAGTCCTTCGAGAAGCCTCCCCCTGGCAAGTGTGAAGGTGTCTCTCGCGTGCACGCCTCGGAGCAGGATGCTCCGAGAAATCGCACTGCCATCTTCGACTGCTCCTGCGGATCAGTCTTTGTAATTTGGTGCAGATGCGAATGCCACAGCTCGGGTGCCTCTATTCGGAGGCTGGGGTGTCGTTATCTCACCCCTCCTTCGCGTGCTGTTCGCCACAGTTGGCAGGCTCTTTGCAAGGGCCGCCACCCTCATTACAGCAAGCTGAGGGTGGGGAACCCTCCTGTTCGGCCCTTGATCTATATGCATTTCAGGGGACGCCTCCCTATGCGAGGAGCAGCCCTATTTCAGGGGATGCCATGTATTGCCAGCAGCCAAACAAGGCCACACACAGCCATGCAGGCGATAAAAATGCCTTTCTCCTCCTCCCTCCCTGTTCCTCCTCATCCTGCTTTCATCGTCCGCGCGCTTCGGGCGGTCGCACGCCACGCGCCGCGTGCCCCGTCACCTACATCGCACCCCTCCTGCGACATGGTGCCCCCCCCCCCCCCACCCTGACGTTGCCCCCGAGCTGCTCCACCCCCTGACGCTGGGCCTCTCAGAAAAGCCAGGCGCGCTTGGAGAAGGAAGCGTTCCGCGAGGTGTCTGCCCCACGCTCCGTGTCGTGACTGCGCCCCCGCGCCCAAGGATGACGCGTGGGGCCTGCTCGGGGGCGAGGGGAAGCGGCCCGCGTACGCCGGCGGCGACGAGGCCCCTCGGCGTCTCTCCCCCTCCTCCTCCTCCTCCTCCTCCTATCGCTATCGCTATCGCTATCGGCTCGATGTCCTGTCGGACGCAGCCGTCCCGAGGGGGGGGCCACCTCCTCCCCCCCTCTCAGAAGAGGTACTCCCTGTGGGAGCCGAACACGATGATCTTGCCCCCCTCGGTGGCCGCCAGCCTCCTCCACCTAAGGAAGGCGGCACGCTCACCACCCGAGGGGGCGACGGCGATGATGAACTCGCCGTTCAGGTGGGCGCCCTCCAGGATGAGGAAGTGGTTGTGCTGGGAGGCGCCGTGGGCGCCAGTGCGGTTGAAGAAGGCCTGCTGGTGCCCGATGCTCTGCTGGTGCCCGTTGGTGTGCTGCTGTTTCCCGCAGGTGTGCTGCTGGTTCCCGTAGGCGTGCTGCTGGTTCCCGTCGGAGCGGGGCGGAGGCTTGGCCCCCAAGTGGGCCGTCCTCCTGGTCTGGGCGGGTCGTCGTAGGGCCTACCCCCTCGCCCTGCAGGGGCGCCGAAATTTGCCCCGCCAGATTTTGCCTCCCGCGCGGCTGCCGCCATGTCGTGGTTCTCGGTGTACGTGGTTTCGCCGTCGTACTCGCTGTCCGTGGCGTTGCTCTCTGTGTCGTTCTGGCTCGCTGGGTCGCTGTCGTCGAGTCGGCCGTCGGAGTCCTCCCCGTGAGAGTGGTCCTGGGGCCGCTCGAGGTGGCTGCGCAGGTCGAACGAAACCCTGCGTCTCGCTGGCTGCCTCGGGTCGCCGCCTGCTGCTTCTCGCAGGCTGCCTCGCGCCGCCGCTGTACTCGTGGTGGTAGCCGTCGGAGTCCTCCTGGAAGGAGTGGTCCTGGGGCTGGTGGCGGCGTCATCCTTGGTCGCGCGCTGGCCGCGGGCGTCGTCGTGCTCGGACGCGTCGCCCTGGTCGGCCGCGGACCAGTGGGCGCTGGTTACGACACCAGCGAAGATCGCCTCGATGCATGCTGGAATGGGGATGCCGTCGGCGGCCATGGAGACGAAAGCAGCCGCGTTGGGCGCGCAGATGCCTGCCGCCTCTAGTGCCGCACGGGCCGCGGATCGCCACTGCGCACCCGATCTCGCCGCAGCTCCGATGACCTCAGCTGCCACGGCAATCTTCTCACGCGCCTGGGTGCCGCCAATGCGCTGATTCGTCAGCTGCAACTTCGCCGTGCTGCAGCTGATGGTGTGCTCTCGCACGGCCCGAAGCAAGTCCTCTTCCACTGCCGTCTCTTCTCGCACAGCGCCGGTAACTGATGGCGTAGTGATGTTGCCGCTCTTGCCCGCTGCCACTGCCGCTGCCGTGCCCCTCGTTTCACATTTGCCCTGTCCCCTGAATCGTAGATGATCACATCGGGCTCTATCTTCGCCTTCCTTCGTCTCGCACGTGTTGGCTGGGTCCTCGGCTAGGTTATTGGTGAGGGGCTCCATCCTCACCGCCTGCTTCTCACAGTGATGTGTTTGCGATGGCGTCTGGGCTCTGTCGTCTAGATGGCCTGTGTCATCGCCCTCCAGCTTCGCTGGCGCTGTTGCTGGCGCCACATCACGCGCACGGGCGGCCGCGCCTGCAGCTAATGACGACTGTACTCCATTCCTAGCGCCAATTCCCGAGGTCGCATCAAGCTTGCCCTGATCCCTGAACCGTAGATGATCGCGTCGGGCTCTATCTTCGCCTTCCTTTCTCTCGCGCATGGCTGAGTCCACTTGGAGTGTTGACTCTTCACCGCTGCTGCCACTGCCGTTGCTTCCTTGAGTCTTGACTCTGGACTGCTGCTGCCACTGCCGTCCCCTGCCATTGTTTCTTGATTCTTGACCGCTGCTGCCACTGCCGTTGCTTCCGCCAGCTGCCTGGGGCGACGCCCGCCCTTTCCCGCAGGGGTCGTCCGCTTCGGCGCTGTAGCTGATGTCTTCTGGCATCCAGCGCTGTCCCCAAAAAGGCTCATGATGCGCTTGTTGCCACCACTGGTGCCACGCTCGCAATTGGCACTGCAGATCGGAGATGAGTTGACGTTGAGACTGCAATTGATGGCTCGCTGCCCGCTGCGTCGCCACCTGGCGCGCTTTCCGCGCGAGGCGGACCTGTTGGGCCCAGGGGTTCTTCTGCTGTTGCTGCTGCTGCTTCACAGGCTCCACGCTCTGCGTGCCGAGCGAGGCACCATGAGCGTCCTGCCAGGGCCGTGCCACATGACGAGGCTCCATCGCGGCGCGGTCGGCAGGACCTGCGAACGCACGCGCGCGCCTGGGGCCAGCCCGCGAAGCCGCCAGCCCTGTGGCCCCGGAGGGCCGCAGGAGGGCGGCGGCGGTTCGGGCCCCCGATGGCCCTCTCCTCCTCCTCCTCCTCCTCCTCCTCCTCCTCCTCCTCCTCCTCCTCCTCCTCCTCCTCCTCCTCCTCCTCCTCCTCCTCCTCCTCCTCCTCAGATCCCAATCTGCTTCAAGCGCCTGCCTGGTTCAAGTATCGCTGCGCTTTCGCTGAATGCTGCTGTTCCTCCCCTTGGAGGCCCTGGGCCCAGGCTGCTTGCTCGATTCCCCTTCCTGCTTCATGTGTTGACCTGCTTCTTCCGACCAGCGTGTGCAGCAGGCACATCTACGAAGACCTCGGCCTTCCAGCCAAGGACATGGATTCTCCCCCGATGGCCCCAGGGATCCACACCATGTGCCCAAGATGTACTATAGCAGCTTTCTTATGTGTCCGGTCGGGAACTTCGGTTTACCGTGTCGCGCCGGCGAATCTGGCCCACCACGCTACGGCGCGACCCTCAACTTTATGATGTTCCAATGTATTTTAGCCTTGATCACCAGGATGAATTTCGAGCACCAAGAAAAAACCCAAAACTCCAGGGTTTTCACGTGTCAAGCCCTGGGAGACCCTCTGTCGACACTGTTTCGACACTCTTTCGACACTCTTTCGGTACTTTTCTGGGTTCTCGAAGTTATTTCTGGGATGTGGTCCTTACGCACGATGGGAGCAACATGACCTCAAACGACGTCCCAGTCTCCAATCGTGAGCGTCCCTTTTCCCACCACCCGCCCTGCGAAGCGGAACGACACGCTATGCTTAAGTCGGGCCTGTCTCTCTACAGGAGGAATATTCAAAAATAGTCAAAGAAAAGTTTGGGGACGATTTGACTATTCTGTTTTGATCATTGGGGGATATTGTTTAGTATTTTTTATTGTTCTTCGGAAATCCCCCTGTAGGGGGACACGCCCGACTTAAGGCTATGCGCATTCTCAGGACGCAGCACGTCGCCAGGGCCGCCGCTGCGACGGGCCAGGCAAAAATCCCGACCATTCATGTCGGGGAAACGTAAGACTCGAGTAAGCCGGAACTCGGGTTTGCTATTTTTTTGACGAGCGCGTCCTGGATCTTGACGGTCCCGTTTTCGTGGGATGTCTGCAGCGGGAGCCCGCGTCAAATTATAGATTGGGTCTCGTAATTCTTATGATGGCCCCCGTCAGGCCAACCCGAGTCCCCCGTACCCGAGTCTTACGTCTCCCCGATCATTGTGGGTGGGGAGAGGGCCGCGAGGTGCTTCATCGTGTTCGCGTCGGGCTCCCCAAACGCAAGCCGTCCAGGCCGCCAGCGGTGCAGCGGTTTATAGCGCGCCAGTCACCGTGCCCCAGTGGAGCTCCTGGTGCAAGATGCCCCTTCGCGTTGCGCACTGCAATGCGAAGTTCCCAGAGGAAGTTCTTGCAATGCTGGGCGCCCTGGCGAGTCTGCGGGGAGGAGCACGCTGCGAGCGAAGCGTTTGCGAAGCGGGCGTGGCAGGAGTGTTGTTCCTGTCCTGCTCATGCTCCGAGCCCAGCGGAGAGCCATTTCAGTAAGCTGGTGCCGAGGTCGTTTAGGACGGACACATGCGAGGCTGTTGCTTAAGCGTGGGCAGCGATTATCGGCCCCCCGCTCCTTTTCGGCTGAACTGTATCGCTCGCTAGGCCCAGGAAGTGATATCCCGCTTTCGGACCCCTGGGTTTTTCAAGTGTTCTTGAGCGTTTCCAGTGTTGTTCTCTCGACTGCGTTCTATAATATTTCTAGATTGTCCCAGGGCAGTCGCAGAGATTTGGGCTGTCGGCCAGGGTTCTTGAGGCCGCTGTTGCCATGCCTCCTAAGAAGTCGTCTTGATGCCTCTCTTGGGCCGTCTTACTCCTTTTACTTGGTTGTGGTGCTAACGATATCGCCCGGCGGTCTCCCTCCCATCGGGAATGAAATAACTAACTAAGGCTTCTGCGGATAAACAGGGGGATCGATAGTCGCCAGTCGCGGTTATTGTTGCGACCGTTATGGCTTAGATCTCCTATGACGTTTTGGAGACGTTTGGGTCTCTCTGACTGTTGTAACCAGATTGGACCACATCGATCAAGAAGGAGCTGGTGTCGCCTTGGCAATTTGCCCTTCCCCTCCCCTCCCCATTCCACGTTTCCGCCACCCGAACAACCGTCTCTGAGGACCCCTTTGTCTAGGAGTGGGGCTCTCCTGGGCAATCGTGGAGCCATCCTGGGGTCTCCAAAAGCTCATCGGATGCAACATGGTGGCGGGCCAGATCTCACTGAAATGCATTTGGTCTTTGCATTATGTGTGTCGCTTTGGGGGGGGGAATCCTTGTGAGGCGCCGATGCCACGTGGATCCGTCATAGAGGCTCCTCCTGACCTGTTGGAGGCATCTTGGAAGCGATACTCGCCCAATTTTGGACATGGTTGCGCCCTCAAGGAGGTCATCTCGGGATGCCTGGAGCCATCTTGGAGCCATCTTCAGCAGGGGTGAGCCCCCCGACCGCTCTGCCCTCGCCCGCTCCACAGCCACGTGAGGGGGTAGGCGGAGAGGTAGAACCCTCCCCGAAGGAGAAGAATGGGGGTCTGGAAGAGTGATGGCGTTGGTTAAGGAATGTGCCCAGGAGGCTTTAGACCCTGGAGGGTTCCTTCTCTGATGAGGGCGGCGGTGATAGCATTGACCAGGCCTCACTTGGCGGTCACCAGCTTCCAGATCCTGAATTCCT